AAAATTTGAACAAGAGCCATAAATGTGAGTGGAGAGGGACTAAACCGTCGGATTCCCCCGACGGCATCGTTCTCGTGTCGACGACTCAATTCGAGACGTGATCGATCGAATACATGAAGGACTGAATACATGAAGGACTGAATACATGAAGGACTGAATACATGAAGGACTGAATACATGAAGGACTGAATCTTAACTTTAACGGGATGGAAAGCACTTGCAACGAATTCGCCCTGCTGATAACATCGATGTAGGCGGCACTGACGAAAAGAAATGGCAGAATTCGAGTACCTCGCACAACTTTCCGAAATGAACGGCGACTCCAGCGATGAAATCGATAGGAGGACGAGAGGCAGATGGGTGCAAGACGGGCTCAAGCCTCCCGCGCCGATAACTGATGAATTTAAAAAATGTAACCGAAATGTAATGTCGCTTTTATTTGGTTTGTTACCGGTAATTTCTCATTTTATAAACACAGCCCAGTTAGCACTGAAGGAATTTGACTCGTCGAACATTATTTTAGTAGTTATGATGAAGGCAGAAACGGTGAATCTATAAAAACGGCTGTAGAACGAATTCCGCAACGAAATGTCAAAATCCTCCCACAAGGAAGACCTTGCGGCAGTTGGCTTTGAAGTTCAGGACTACGGGTGTTGTCAATGCAAACGAAGACTCTCAATTCTGGCAGACCTCGTGCAGTTCTGGAATTGTGTTGAACATCTGTAGTCATATGGTTGTGGTATGACATTGTCTAAAGGATTGAGCTGTATTTACAGCCGGACGGTGGACATGTTCAACATGTCGATGAACTTAATGGCCTAGAAAGGTTAAAAGCAATAATCCTAGTGGTGGAATATGTAATAAAAGCATAGAATAGCTAAAAATCTCGAATAAACCTTGTGATGTCTTCTTAGATATTTCGGTTACCTTTTCTTTGAGTCGCCTGTATTTCCGCTCGGCTACGGCAGATTCATAGATTCGTACTGTCTCTCCTGGTCCATGAAGCAAGAAGGTCTCTGGTAGGTCAACGAGAGCTCGTGAGCGGGCTTCCCTGAGCCATCGGTACCTGTGCAATAACACTGGATTAGAGAGGTCTGTCAGGCGAATGGTGGAGTGGAGGATTCTTGGAACCCAGCAAAAAAGGAGCTCCGAGTCTACGGTTAAGTGGGGCCCCAATCAGTGCTTCCATACTGAGTATGACTTCCGGCAACGATAGCGAAAGATGTGTACTTGGACGTGCGTGTTATGAGTTTCCAAACGATAGCTCGACGGGAACATTGACGATGAGTCTTCAGAAGACCTACTTCTTGGAGGAGCTTGATTTTGGAGAGGTTATCAGGACTCATGTTGCACAACTCTCGGATACTCGTGACTGGAAGAGGAGGTTCGGAGGGGCAAGGGGTTGGCTCCGATTTGTTGGAGAGCCGGGGCGGGGGGAAGGGGGGGATGGAGACAGAATGCACGTCTCTCCAGCATCTTTCGTATCCCTATGGCTGCCACCCAGCCTTCGATGAGTCGTGCTTGGTCAGGCAATTCCTGTGTAAAGGACCGAAGAGCGAGAAAGTTATGCTGCGTAGGGAAAAGTAGGTGATTATGGTCGGAAAAAGATCGCGGCTGAAGGCCGTAATTGAGGAAATAAATTTTTGGAAATTTTGGATCCGTACGGTTAAATAAGAATCGCGGCAGTTCTCATTCTTTTGGCCCTATACCGGGCCGGAAGTAAGAGGGGACACTTCACGTTTATAAGTTTTATCTTCCGTGCCCACATAAATCTGTTTCAATCGAGCGAGATCAGTTAGTTTCAAAAACGAAGGAGCCGATGAGAACGTTAACCTGAGTCTTTCAACCAGAGGAGACAGGGAGTATGCAGAGACGTGCGGGTCTGTGGCATCACTGCCACAGACCGCCACCCAAGTAGGAGGGCATCAGAGATCGCAGAATCATGGATTGGATCTTTGGATTTAGTGGCTAAAGTGACTGGTGGTTGTGATGTGGGAGGGAGGCTTTTGCGCTTCGTCAGTGATCATTTACCTTAACCCCCAATAGACCCTTTGATTCCTCGACATGGTTGATTTTTTCTCTCTCTTGGACGTGGCCTTGTACCAATAGATCACGCGGAAGAAACTATCTCAAGAAAAAAGTAGAGCTGATTACTAATGAGTGAAGCGATGGATAATTGAATTTAAAATTAAAAAACTTAATCGAGCGACAGATGCAGAGGTTGCCCCCCCCCCCCGTCTCATTGTGAGAGGGGGGGTAACCTTTCTTCTTTCTGATTGCATTTTTTTCTGACAGTGTTGCCTTTGTGCTTTCATGTTCCCACTTCTGAAAGGAGTTCCGTTGCCTTTCATTTTGCCGACGAGTGGACCGTTCAAAAAATCGTATTTAAAAAATCGGGTCCCCCTGATTATTCTTTCCTTTGGCTCTTCTTCAAGACAGTGCAGAGAAATCGGAAATAAAACGAGCATTCATGGGGAGATTTTTGGCCAATTAAATCTTCTTAATTTGCTAATCTGCTTACAAATCGGCTTAATTTCTAATTAATTATTATAATTGACAAAGCTTTAATAAATTACGTGTAATCGCACGATTAATTTATAAATTTCGGCTCTGATAATAATAAATATGCGGAGATAATGATAGAACTCAAGACTTATGGCGTCGGCAAGCTCTGGAACATTCTCGATCAGGATGGGCAGACTGATTAAATACATGTTTGCATGATACAACAGCCTCCAGTAGCACAACGAGACCAGGTGAACCCGGATTTCACAAAGCAGAATCTTCTCGGAATCAATTTTCCGCTTTTTTCACGACTGTAAGCAAGATTACGATCATTTTCCTATCATATGTCACAGGGGGGAGTATCCGTTCCGTGGTAGAATGTAGTATGTATTCCTTTTCCTCCGGAGTCGCTCCGCGCACGTCGAAGGAGCAACAGTGGATAGAAAGGCAGACGGGCAGTTGGATGATTTAGTCAAGAGAGAACCTGTAAGAGATCGCTTATGCAAGAAGGATCCCCTTCTTGACTTGCAAACTCGAAGACCAGAGAAAGAGAAAAGTAGAAAGCTATAGGGATAGAGACAGAACAGAAAGGAAGGTGGAAAGGTCAAACAATCGTATGACGTCCAGCGAGACAACTCTCCATATTTAGTGGAGAGCCTAGTCTAGTGAGTGGTGTCGATCGCGGCATTGGCTCCCGCCTCTCGCTGGGATATCGTTATTACGGTGTGGTGAAATACTGGCATCCTCTGGAACCTCCGTTGTCGTTCCTTCTAGTCAGTCTCGAGAAGAAAGTCATGGCCAGAGATGGCATTTCGTGGACGAGCCGGTTTTCGCCGATTCACATCACGTGGTTCCTGGCCATGAGTATCCAGGCCTTTATGGATATCACCCCCAAAGTAAGGATAACGAGCGGGGAAATTCTGGGACGTACATACTCTCTACCCGATGACGAGAACGTCACCGCCTTCCTTGGCATACCATACGCTCAACCGCCTCTAGGGCCCCTACGATTCAAGGTATGTTGAAAATGAACCCATCTTTAAGACTTTCCGGACGACGGCCTCTGGACCGCAACATGTCGTAGCAGATGACGGTTTTTCACCTATTTCACGAAAATGTTCATCATATTGTAGTATGTTCATCATTATAATAAGTTCATCATTATAATAAGTTCATCATTATAATAATTAAATAAGTTGTAATAAGTTCATCATATTGTAGTATAACGTAAGAATTTTTTGTAAATTGAAGTTTTCTCTACCAGCTGGTATACAATTTATAGCAATAAAGGCAATAGAAATTTGAGACAGCTATGCTGTCCTGTTGTACGGAAAGTGTAAAAAATGAAATTCACCCCGAAACGGGAACGGACCCCCAATGAATGAATCGGTGCAGAACCCCTTGCCGGTAGAACCATGGAAGGTGAGAAACGCGACGGAGTTCGGAGCCCTGTGTGAGCAACCCAACGAGAAGGTCTGGGCCATGAAGGACTGCGAAGCGGGCTGCTACGCTCAAAACGAGTTTCTCAGGGATGCCTTCAACGTCTCCGAAGACTGTCTCACTGTCAACGTCTTCACTAGACAAGTCAGTCTCTAGTAGACCCGTCACTACTTGGTAGGGAAATTCCAATGGCTTATACAAATTACATCGAGGTCTCGAGAAAGCCATACACTCCCATCAAGTGTTCGGCACTTTAAAGACGAGTCTGACTCATGCAGGAATATTAAGAACTTTAGACACGAATGCACAAACCTAATTGAGGGGAAATAAAGGGGTCTTTAAGCTAAAAAGCTCTTTTTCTCCCATAAGAGTCCATGTATTCTTGAAGGATCGTTAACTAAAGGAGGTTTCAGCATTCGGGCCTTAAACTTAACTAACAGGCTATTTAAAAGCCCTGCCCGTCGACTATGGATTTTTTCCAGGTTTCAGCACATCCCGGGAGTCTCTTTTACACAGTTACGCCATAGTGTGCCCAATACACACCGGAAACCTGTTTCGGACCGGAATAAACATTGAAATGCAGTGCTCCATAAATGAAACATTCGTCCCATAACGTTTACATTGCCAGTTCCACGAAGAGAGCATGAGACCGATAAAGTTTAAGTAAAATATTCGTATTTGTTTAGAGTCAATTGCAGAGCATACAGAACGGAGGCGAGAACTTGGATCCGGTGTTGATATACATCCACGGGGGCAGTTTTTTCATCAATGGCTCTCCCATGTACCGAGTCCAGAAGTTAGTCACCATGGGGCTTGTAGTCGTCACCTTCAACTACCGACTCGGCATCTTCGGTACATTCCATAATTTATGCCATTATGTGCCATGGAAATGATCTGCGAAATCACAAAGTGATAAGGACGGTAAGGACTGCATGTGTCGATTTTACGTGTCCACCATCTTGAAGGGTTCCTGAGCACGGGGGACGAGGTAGCACCGGGAAACTACGGTCTCTTCGATCAAGTCATGGTTCTGGAATGGGTTCGGGACAACATCCGGGTATTCGGTGGAGATGCGCAACGAGTGACCATTATGGGCAACAGCGCAGGAGCCGCTTCTGCCTTCATGCACATGGTCTCTCCCATCAGTAAAGGTGCGCGTGCCTATGACGTCCCCATAACGTTGAACAGATTCTCAAGGATCGAATCCCAAAAATGTAGATTTGCTATTGACGGAACGGAAAAATAATTACGCTTACCTTCAAGAGACTAATATTAACCTCCTGCAATTTTCTAAAAGTTTGGCAAGACTAGCTCGCTATGGTAATTTGGAAGACGTGGTAGATCTTGGAATTTCTTTTGTCATCAGGGACGAAGACCACAATGAACACTTCTATTAAGGGGAAATTATAATCCTAGTTAGGTCGTGGTATCGGTTCCCAATCTCCATGGGAGTCCGTGCGTTTATCAGTGGCTGCTCGTGACGTTCAGCAGTGGTCCTACCTCTATTGAAGATCCACTACTGATCAATATCACGAGTCGCCCATGGCATTTATAATAAACGTACATTCAGTAGATGGAATTAATGAGATCTTGACGCCAGTTACCAACCGTCAGTACATCCTCATTAAACCATCCATAAAATGCAAGCCAAACCGGTGGTATATGAAAGTTACCCATATAGAGTCCGCCTCAGGGAGGGATAGGACAGTGATCTAGCAAAAACACGACCCAAAAGAACTCTTTGGAGAGTAAACGGTGATCAACAGACTAGTGAGACTTGCAGGGCGGTCGCCTTCTTGAAGACGCGATGGGAATACCCGAAGGTGCACGAAAAGGGCAGATTAAAGATTGGCGCCTCTGAAGGCAGGTTCGCGGTGGGACTGTTTCGTGGAACATGTGAAAGAATATCATTGTGGGCTAGAAGCAGCAACAGTGAAATGCGTATTTCTAGCCGACGCTGCGGTTCTTAACTCTACATTTGCCACAAATTCAGGTCGGTTTAGAGTCGGATGCATTTATGGAAAGATGCAGGATGTGAAAGGGGTAACACAGTCAATTGCTAGGTATCTTGAAGAATACTCACTACTACTAGCAAGCATTGCGGTTTATTAGCTCTCTGCGTCTTCTGATCAAGAAAAAAAGTTTGTGTTATCTTGCCTCCATCGACGCACGCTGCAGCATTTTCATGTCCCTCTTTCCCTTTCTCACCAACATGCATTTGCGACTTCCTTTCGAAATGGCTCCATCTCGTTGGCATTTCCTGGGTAGGTCTCTTTCACCAAGTGATAGCCATATCTGGCAGCAGCGGAGCACCTTGGGCACTGCAGACGAACCCTAGAAAAATTGCCCTTCGACTCGGTTCTCTCGTTGGATGCTGTCAATTAAATGTCTCAGAGGAATTGATGGATTGTTTCCGGGAGCTGCCTCCCAGGAACCTCAGCCTCGTGAGTCCCTTTCAGTGCGATTCTTCGAGGCGATTTTCATTCATCCAGCACGGCTTTTGGAATACCATTACGTGTACTTACGATGTTCCTGCAGGAAAAGCTCCAGTACTACAACGATGGACTGAAAATTGCCTATGCACCGACTCTGGATGGGAATTTTCTGACCGAAAATCCCTTGGTGCTTTTTGAAGCTGGGAATTTTACCAGTGTTCCTATCCTATCCGGGGTGACGAGAAATGAAGTCACGATCTGGTATATAACCAGTGAGTGTCCCTCTCCGACAATTCTTTCCTTGCATAATTTTGACGGACAAATCGCATCCGGTACTATGAACCCGAAGGCCCTAATGCTAAAACCTCCTTTAGTTAACGGTCCTTTAACAGGTTAACTGCCATGGGGCACACTGGTGCGCCTCACTAAGTCCCTTTTCCTCCGCCATGGGGCGCACCGGTGCGCCCCGTGTTTCACCTTCTCCGAGGGAAGTAAAAATGTATTTTGGCCCAGGAATGTCACCAGGCCCATATGGCCGTGGCAGTCAACGTGTTAAGAATACATGGATTCCAATGGGGGGGAAAATAGCTCTATAGCTTAAAGGCCTCTTTATCTCCCTTAAATGAGGTTTGCGCATTCGGGCCTTAGTCTTTCGAAGTGTATAGGGTAAACTAACCTTGACATGCACGATACCATGAGGAGCTATATTCCCAATTCATAAAGGGCGGGGCGTAATATTTATCAAATATTACGCCATGCTTATAAAAGATGAGCAACATTTGATGGGTAGGATTCGGCAAAAGTTCTGAAGAGATCACTTTTTTCTTCAGTTCTTGCAACACCTTTTCCAGATGGAACAGCAACTCTGCTCGTGAAAATTAACCTTCGAGAGGCTCTGAGAACATTCTGGCAGCAGCAACGTCACCTGATTTGCATGACAAAGCACTTTGCTTCAAAGCCCTGGCTACTCAAGAATAGCAACGAAAAATCATATTTACTTTTTCACACCGCAGAATGGAAAGGGAACCTTAATGTCTGTGAAAACTTGGAAGCTTCTGCGAAAGACCGAACCAACATGCTCTCTGGGCCTCGCAATGGTAGATTCTCATGGGAAAATTTGCTGTTCCATTTGGAATAAGTATTGTGCGAACTCGAGGAACGCGATCTCTTCAGAACTTGGCAGGAATTCTACCCTGGCAGACAGGATGTTGTCCGTCAAGCAAATGTGGATCAAACAGAAGATTGATCGCTTGTCTATGTCCTCAAGATATCATTTAGTCTTGGTGCGACTAAAATTCCTCAGATGATGTTCATCTCTTCTGAAGATGAGGGGTCTAATTATTATACCCCACTCTGTAGTGCTTAAAAACCTAGAGGGATGGAAACAAGTTACGAAATGCTGCGACTGAAGTTTAATTTAGTCAAACATGATCCGGTATAGCCGGACTATGTTTTCGACAAAACCGGGGAAACTTCCTTGTGGAATCAGCGTTTCGATATGAATACTTGCTTTTAGGTAAGAAATTGAAAGGTAATAAGGTGAATACATCAGACATGTGCCTTTCTGCATTTGTTGCAGGTATGGAATTTTTTATTAAAATACAATTTGACTTAGCCTGGCGTGAATGAATGCCGACTGGGTGATAACGGTATTTACCAAGATTTTACGCCATAATCCAGAGTTACCGTCTCTTTTGACTGAATTAATTCGTGACGATGGAACATTCTCAGAGTTCAATGCAGTCGCTAAACGACGGCTAGTGTTTGTTTTTTTTTCAGATGAGCAGGACATGGCTAATGCTCTGGAACCATTGTTAAGCCTGTTTGCAAGGAACTACGCTGAACAGAATACGGGAAACCCATATGAACCAATCAAGAACACTGATCCCATCTTCCAGGTTGCTAAGAAGTTCTATAACGCCAAATACAAGGCTCTGTACGTGGAGGAGCCCGATATTGCCAAGCCAAACATCGAAGCCGTATCTGCGGTACGATCGCACATCTCGTCCCTTATTTTCCGGCTAGAGAAGCATCAGGGAGGGTTTCTTGACATGGTGAATGGCACTGGCTTTCCAGTTCGTTTCCGATTCGGACATCAGGGCTCCACTCCTTCGAGACCTATGCCACATCTCTCAGCACTCCAACACCTCCCAAGTCTGGTTCTTCGAGTTTGCCTACTCCAGTATTGATGACATTCGTACGAAAGGTCTCGACTGGATTGGTAAGCAGTTTCGTTCTCTTTCTTCCCTCAACCTATCTCTCACTGCGCCTACTCTTCAGATTGGACTACAACCACAGATTAGAACTTGCGATATGGCAAAAAATATCATGCTTGCGATCACACCGAGGCAAATAAACGTAATATTATGATACAAATGAAGCGTTGGCATAAGGTCTTACGTGCTGGTAAGACTTCTCCATGGCTTGAATGGAACAGGTCGGTTCCCACTACTACAGGGGCCTACCATGAGAGTGAACTTCAATACATTTTCGGTGAACCTTTCTTGGACTACAAGAATACTCTCCAGGGTGACGCAGACAAGAATGTCAGCCATCGCATGATGGAAATTGTCACAAACTTTGTCTACCAAGGGTGCGTCCCATTGCTGCTTTCTTCATCCCATTATCTAGGTTTACGCTTTAATGTCATTACCTGAAATGTTGGTACCAACTTCTCTGCAGAAACCCAACACCCAAGAAGGATGCTAGATTTGATCTGCCCTACTGGGAACCATTCATGGGCAAACATTACCCTTACGCCATTATTGACGATTCCCCAATGCACTTCAGTGAAGATTATTTGCAAGAAAGGTAAGCTCTTTTCCAGTCAGAGCAAGGCTACTTCATCAAGCGATATACTGTTTATATAGAACCTTTTTGAATGCAACACTATGCAAGGACAGTCATCCAGTAGAATTAGGCATGATGTAAATCTCATGCATGTCAATGTATCAGCAACTCATCATCTCTTCTTCCCATAGGATGACGTTCTGGAATTCATTCGTCCCACTCTTCAAGATATCACCAGGCATGCAGAAACCAGAATCAGGGTCTTCACAATGCACAATGCAAGACACAATCACCTCATCCTCATCTGATGTCTACTTTTGGCTCACCTGGGTCCTCATGTTTTCCTGTGTGATGTTCATCTTCTCAACATTTGCACAATGGGTGCGTTACAACCAGGCAGAGAGGAAGGCAAATGGATTGAGAGAGGAGATGGACCTTTTCATCAGTCAAATTCCAGTCAGAAAACCAGTGTCAGAGCTGACAGACTTCAGCATTATTCGAGGGGGAGATGTCGAGCCCTCAGCCATGATGGGGACTCATGTGGGACCATATTCTGAGACTCTTACAGGTTCCCCTGTTGCAACTGTATCTATAGCTAATTCAGATACTCAGAAGTCACCATCTGTCAAACTATACTTTCCTTTCTAATGCATGCAACTTCGTTGAGGAAGAAATGCAGTATGACAAGCTCTTAGCAGTGAGCCATCCTAGTAGAAACTGTGAATGGACAATGCCCATGAAGCCATTCAAATGTATGTCTTCCAAATCAACTCAGCTTAATTGCAAATATGACTATTGTGCTATTTCTCATTTGAGTATTTTAACGGTTTTGTTTGCAATTTTTTAACTGTTTCTTTAATTTAATATGGAGTGTAGCTATGTAGATCATATCCCAGACTTTTCCTGAATCCAAAACCTCTCGTAGCAATTTCTATTTTCAAGTAACAAGAGTCCTTGGCTTTAATGGAGCTTATCATTGGCCCTGACACTAACTCCATATTTGGTAGAATCTTACACTGAAGCAAGTCTCATTTGTATGAAATGAGCATGTGCAGCAGGGCTGTACTCATTCCTATGATTTGTACTTCAAGCAAATAGCTCTGAAGATGAATGTCAATTTTGTCCCTTGAGACACCATGAAATGTGGCATGAGTAAATGAAACTTCATCTGGCTATGCCTTACCAAGGAGCTCTTGGTTTTTTTCCCTGTTTGGATAGGGAGGCAATTGCACTAATGGTGGTTTATCCTCTATTCAGGGCCTGTACTGATACATTATGTTAATACACTGCCTATGCACAGAGATGACAGCATGATAAATGTATGACATCCAGACTGTGTGTACATCATATAGTAGATGATCCATAAAAACACAACTGTGTGAAAAGTCAAATTACAAATATGACCCATGTCATTTAATTTGGAAGCCCAGGAAGAAGCTGAGGACTTACAGAACTTGCTTGGTGAATGAGGTGAAAGCATTGTAGGAATGTCTCACCAGACCGAGAGAAAAGGGATACGCTTGCGCTTTCATGATGAGAATCGGAAAGCATACGCCCTTTTCCCCCAATCAAGGCAAGCATGAATTTCACAGCCAACAGATCAGGTGACCATCACAAGACTGCTGATGAACTTAAGAGCTCCTGGAACACAACTCAAGACAACTGTAAAGAGTAAAGACTGCAGAGAGAACTTTGCAGTATTTAATCGTGCACAATCCCTCAACTGAAGTGCACATCATGAATGCAGATACTGGTAAAAAAAATATATATACATACGAGGCAAGAGATGCTGCTCTCAGTTTGAGACTCCCATTTCAGAACCATACTTTAGCCTGGTTATTACTGCAGAGTATGAAAACAGATACTGCCAGCTAGGAAGTCTTCACCTGCAGGTAGTATCATGAGTCAGAAAAAAAGGTGATTTTTAAAAATCCTTTTGCGAGATCCTTCAACTAGGAATTGTGGTAACAGATAAAACAATTGATATAGGAGCTAAATATTGTTCCACAGCCAAATCAGATGTCCCTTTTGTTCTTGTTGATTACTTCCATGTTGTTCTCATTCACCAATGGCTGGAAATCCTTGTAGTTGGCTGAATCCTGATTCAATCACAAAAGCTCCTATTTGTTCATGTCTGAATATCAGGATAGCACTTTGCAGTTAATAAAAACACACAGAAATGACAGTAAATTGGCATGCATGACATGGTGTAGCCTGGTATGTGACAATGATTGGCCCTGAACAAGTAGCTCATGAAGTAAATAAGAGAAATCTTTAGTCCTCAAAGGGGAATCTTGTTTTTAGTCATTACTCTAGTCAATACCAAGAGAGACAACTGTGGGTGCAGTGAGAAGGTAGGTCTAAATAATATGGAATGATTCCTGGGTTTGGATTAACAATGGGGGATTTGAATCCCATTATGTCCTCCATTTCATTTGCTGCTTCTGCCACTGTCACCCCCATCTGGAGAGAGTGCAAATGGCTTTGGAGAGGTTCCACAGGAAGCACCTCAACAAGGGGAAGAAATTTCAATGTTGAAAGATACCCAGGAGGCCAGCTGAATGAATTCATCAAAATATGCTTCGTAAACAACAATCTCTCAAAGGACAAATCACATCTGTGCAAGATCATCTTGAAATGCACTGTGAGAGGTAAACAAAGTGAGAAGACAGCATATTTGAATATGCCCCAATTCCAACTTCAAAAACATAATTTGCTATTGACAATTACCATGTTTCCCATTGGAAGCACAGAAAGAACAACTCATAAAAAAGTCCACCACAGGCAATTTCTTCTCCCCTCCTGATACAAGAACCAAGGATGTGAAAGGGAATTCACAAGATAGAGTGAGATGTAGTGAGGGGAGACGGAAGAGCTCTGAGCTGAAGGGCTTCATCAGAGATGGATTGCACCTTGTGTGGGAGGTCATTCTGATGAGATCCAACACATGTGGAGATGAAAACTCTGAAAATAAACAATGGGCTGGTCTCAATCTCTTCTAAACGTGCTATTCCAATTTACTTTTGCCTTAAACACTAAAATTTCTTTCATACATGTCTCACCACCCATTAATAAATGTATGCTACTGTAACTCACATAATATGGCATGAATCCTACAATTTCAGAAGAGGGCACCAAATGTAAAAAAATATGAAAATCATTAGAATAAATTAACCGCACGGCTCAGAATGCAGCCAAATTGAAACTCACAATGTTTGGAGCTGTAGTAGAAGCAGGACCAACCACATGGACGACCAACCCCAATAAGGTCCATCAATGATGACAGCACTTGAATCACCTTTTTTTTTGAGTCTACTATATGCAGATATATGTACATAAAGGAGAACTACACCACATTTAATTTTCTTTGACTTGTCATGGAAGGGAAGTGGCATGAAAAGCACAAATGCTCTCCCACTGCAGGACACGAGTCTTTGGTGTCTTTACAGCACCTTCACGTAGCATAACGCTTGGTCCATAACCGAGCAATGCGATCATGTTCCTCGCGATTTTGGAGGTATTGGGTGGCAATGGATCCCACCAACGGATCAGCAGGGTTGCAGTCCGTCAGCAATGAGCAGATGGACAGCAACACCTTAGAAATGGTGAGAGCAGGGGACCAGTTGTCTTTCAGAATGTCAAGACAGATCACACCTTGGCTGTTGATGTTGCAGTGATAGATGCGAGTGCGGAATGTCACTTTGGGTGGCTTGAAGGGATAGTCATGTGGGAAGTGGATGTCAAGAAAAAATACTCCACCTTCATATACGCTGCCTGGGGGCCCAAGGATGGTGGAAACCCACTCATAAAGGTTGTCACCTTTAGGACCAGCACTGCAGTTTGGAGGGGGGTCAAGCGTGATTTCAGCTAACTCCTGCAAGGTAGCAATAACCAATACACATCCAAATTTATCAGGAAAACACACAATGGGAAGACATTAAGTGAAGGCAAATCAAGGCAATACCCTTATTGCATGGAATCAGACACATTAGCAGCTTATTATATAATGAGTTTAGATAGGTTTCCCTAAAAAAATTCAGGACTTCTCTTGATAGGGCTGCACAATCACAGTTTTCAGAACATTAATGCATAGACCTGAAACATTGATAGTGAATCTGACCAAAAAAATTCTCAGTGGTGGCAGCCAGGTGTCCTGTCCCAACCCAGTTAACAATATGAGAAAAAGAGCCCCCTCCTCTGTCCCGATCAATGGAGATGAATTCATTCATCCTTAGTTGCTGTTATAACTGAAAGAAAACTGAGCTTTTTCAAATTTTCAGGGAGCAAAGTCTTCAAAACAAAAGTTTCTAGGCAATATTTCCCACCTGGGAAAAAACATTCACCAGGCACATACATGGCAGGTATTTCCTAGCCATTCTCAATAATTTTAATTCCAACATATAGATTTTCCATTTCCTGTTGGTATCTGCCTCATGCAAACTTCATAAATTGTTTGCCTGTTCTCATTTGAGGCTTTCATATCCTTGTCAGACCCAAATGTACACGTGTAAAAATTTCCATAGTTTTTCATTTTGCCTAGGTCTGAAGAGAATATGGTTGAGCAATTTCATGAGTCCTTCCCCATATCACAAGGTTCCAAGTGAAATGTGTGCTGGGGTTAATCATTGATCAGTGCTTGGACAGATGAGACATATTTGTGGTCTATCATTGAGTAAATCTCTCGCTGCCAATATTTATACAAGCACTATCCAAAAATTTGCCTCATAAACAATCTTGTTCAGAATGTTGTCAAGGAACAAACATCACCTCTTTACTCCTATTGCTGGAAAGTCTACATTTCTCCATGTATTCCAAGCTTTCCCCAGTGTGCCCCTGAAAAAATTCTCAGATCACACATTCTTTAACTTTATGATGGGTGCTTTTTTTCAGATGAGGGAGTGAGAATTAATGAAATCAGGTTCATATAAAATATTGCTCTTGTGTTCAACAGAATGGTATTTCAACTCTACAAGTGATGCAAGATCAGCATAGAAGACCTCTGGTGGGTGAAATGCAAGATTTGAGAATGACAGATACCTTTCCATGAAGATGCATTGAGAAGAGCCTACTTTTTAGAGAACAAAAATCAGCTCAATAAAAAAAAATTAAGATGGTAAAAGAGTTCCTTCCATTTAGTTAACTGCTTTGTTCAAACAAAAGCATAGAGCTGAGGGAACTCAGTAAAAAACAAAACTTTCTGCCTGGAACCCAAATCATTCATTCATATTCTGAGAACGTGACCACATCATCTCAGCATGGGTCAGTTCTGTTGCCGTTTGCAAGACAGAGAGTGAACGCTGCCTCTCATAGAATAATACAGCTTCCTCACAGCAGTGTGCGGGATGGCATTTCATTCTTGGCCCAAAGCAATGATGATTCTGAACCAAATTGCTTTGGAGGCAAAATTTGGGGAAATAGTCACTCAAATCCTGATGCCAGTAGGTATTTCTGCAGATAAAAGCATAAGCTATTCAAATAAATTTATTCTCTGTTGATGCTAATGTTACTTAGATTTTGGATGATGCAAAAAATTGCAAGACTTTTGAAGGACAGTTACCGGAGTCACTTCCTTAAGGTGCAAAGAACAAAACATGTTTTTGCATGGTATGCAAGAAAACTAGGCTTTCCCTCAGTATGGGCACAGACTGTAATTGTTCCTTGCTGGAAAAATGAACCAGACATATTCTCAGTTGAAATTTGGAGCAAGGATGACTGAAATCATGACATTAGTGAGTGCTTTCCTTAGATAAGAGAACTAGGCCTGAATGTTGAAACCTCCCATTAAGAAAACCTGGACTCCTATTGAGGTGAAGAGATCTTTAGCTTAAAGACCCTTTTATCACCCTTAAATGAGGTTGGTGCATTTGAGTCTTAGCTATCTAAGGATGAACACAATTTCACAGATAGGAGCTGAGAATTTTAATCATGAAAAAGTGTTGCAAGTCTTTTGGAGGGCAGTGTATTTGCTTAGTTATCTGGTCAACACCATCTTTTTTATTGAATACTTCCATGTGGTCACTACTCCAAAGTATTGGACACACCTGCTCTAGATGAAATTTTGCATGTGAGACTTTTTTAAATGTCAGCCACTTGAAATCATTAACTATAAGTATGTTGCCCTCTTTCCTTTTCAGATACACTTACTGTATATCAATGTATTTGTTTGATTTGATGATGGCTGTCTTTTTTTTCTGATGTTCAATACAAATAAGTTAAACCCACATCCTAAATGGATTCATTAACGGGGAAAGGCTGGAATATATAGAAGGGGGTAAACTGATGTACATCTGAAAATGAGGAAATGAAAAAGACAATCCAAGTTCACAGAATGCAACTCATGAGATCAAAAGTAGAAGACTAAAACAGAACTGAGAAAAAAAAGGGCCAATATATCACCCTCTCCTCTCGCTTCTTGCCTCTGGTTCAATTAGTTTTTTTTTTCCCATCTGTCTTTCATATAGACATTTCCAGCATTTCATGGTGATTGGAAATACCCAGTCCATATGGGTCACTTCACCTCTTCCTTTCCCAGCCTGTTGTTTAGTTCAGTTTGTCTCAATCTGATGTGACATTTCCCATTTTAAAATTTTACCAATACATTGTGATGGCAGAAACACTATCGATACCTCCAAGCACTGATGCATCAACCCAATGTGACAATCCTACTAGAAAGTATTAGTTCTTTCTTCTCTCTAAAATCTGCCATTTTCAAATGATTGATACTGGCCTTAGACATTTTCTATGCAAGAGTGGAGAAAGAGTTAACTGAAAACCACAGGACTTCCTAAACAGGTAGATGGCATTCAAAAACTTAACCAGAGTTATTAAAATTATGACATAGGCCAACTAGAATACAGGTAAGCTAAGTTTAGCATCCCTGTGATTTCACTGATCATATCTCACCTTCTGAATACGCTTAGCAGAGGTGCTAAGAGCTTTTGACATCTTGGGATTAGGCTTGCTTTCTGGCTTAGCACTAGTGGGAGATGCAGAGGTGTTTCCTGTTGATGCCATGCCTCCTGAAGGTGCAGTATTCGGAGCACTTGTACGACCACTACTTCCTGCAGTACCTGAGGAAGTGCTTGCAGACATAATACAGTTGACAGAGGGTTGGCTCAGATCTAGAACACTAAAAAAAAAGGGTATGCCCAATTTTAAAATGCATTTGAGAATGTATGGGGCATAACACCCATAACACTCTAGAAAACAGCAGCTCCTCTGCAACTGAAATTGAGCTGAGATTGAGGATAGTCAGGAAGATGTACATTTCCATTAATAACAAGCCAAGAGGCTAGGGAGCCTCTGGGTATGGGTTTCAAATGTAGATACTCTCACATGAAAGCATATTAACAGTTGCAATTAAGAAATAGGCATATTCTCCACATTTCATGAGTGCACAAAATCACTCAATGACACTCTCAATTAGCTTTCATAACTGTACTTGCAAACCTATCTAAAGTAGGGAGAAGACTGATAACTGCTGCTGAGTCTATTTGGTGTCTACCAATGATGGAAATATTTCAATATTTCCATTTAGTATCAGGTCTCCCATCAGACAGAGAAGGATGGGAGTGACATCATTATCCAAGTAAGTTGCACTAGACTAAGGTTTATATTCATGTCCAGGTGATCAATGTTTGGGGATTAATTTGTGACCTTACAAAGAAGAAGACGGCTTTCCATCATGTTCACATTTTTTTTCAGGCAGGCAAATTTTACAATGCGATCACAGCGCTACGAGTGGCGAAACCTGATCTCTCCTCAGGTCTTCCATTGAGCGACAGGGAATTGCACTATTTGCGGACCATGGGTTCGTTACGCATGTCGATTCAAGCACCTCTTTCCAATCGCAAGTGCTTAGCCTAAGCTATAATCTATGAATACTGGACCCATTAAAAATTTGTTATGTCTGGGCCATGAGCATAAAAGCCGCCGGTTCAGTAGGCTAAACCGAACCACGTCCTAAGCGGATCCGCACTCTCATTCAAATAGGCCCAGGATCTCTGGTGACAATTCAGACACGACTAAGGAACATGCGGTGGGAAAAAAAGAAGCACCGGGGGAATTCACCATGGAAGGCGCTTCCCGGAACGAAGCCTTTCTCCTTCCCCGATCCCCGATGGTGTTATTCAGTGTTCACTGCTTCCAATGCCATACATGTTGACAGTGATGCTGAAATTCACTTTGTCCAGCAGCGGTAACAGCTGGGGAGACAAGTAATAAATATCAGCCTCATTTTACAATATGATATTATCTGCCGTTCACTTTACACAAACTTATTTGTGCTGTATGATTCTATAATTCCTGGAATGGGACCTGAATGAAATTCTTAGGTGACGTCTACCGCACTTTTGGTCTTATGCAGCTGCAGCAACGGCGTGTCCGTTGAGGCCATTTTGAATCCCTGTGTTCACCACGTGCGTGCAGTAGAGCGTTGACTTCAAATATTTCTGACCTTGACTAATATGCTTACATAGAGCAAGCCTTGAAAGGCTTCTTCGCTATCTAGGTCTACGTTTAGAACACGTTGTACGTTTTTCTTGCTAAAGATCAAACTTGTACAATGCAATCAGTTTTTTGCCTTACCTAGTAAGTTAGATTCATCAAATATTTTAATAATAGGTGGTCTTTGTACTTATTCTACACTATAAGGTAAAAGGTAATGAAGACAGACTAGAAAGTCTAGATGATATTGAAGGCATGTGCTTGTCTAGGAAGAAAGAGATGACCATCCGTAGGACCAATGTCACAAAACTTATCCAGGATTTGGTGTCTAAAAAAAAATAGCTTCTTTGAAATCCTCTGGTTCCTGCCTGGGGATAAAGAATAGCAACCCTTCAGTAGACCTATATTCAGTGGTACTACTTTGGGTTGAATATTGCTCATTGCATGAGACCTCAGACCATAGTTACAAAAAGTCAGATACCCAGTGAAGGGTGTCATGCTATGGAAACAAAAGCTAAGAGATGCTCCTAGGCCTACAAAAAATGGATGGAATATTTACCCAACCCAATCTAATTCAAACATAAAAGTTTAGAATGAAACTAAGGAACAAATGAAAGAGGAGGTCCATGAAGGTTATGGTTAAGTGTGTACTCCCTAGGGATATTGTGTTGATCCTTAGATTAGGCCAGGTTATGTTAGGTTGGGGGGAGGGGGGTGGTGGTGGTGTGTATTATATATAAAAGGAATCCAAATGAATGTGGCTTGTTTCCAGTTGTATTAATCTGGAAACATTGGAGACTGAGGAAGTGCAATTTCATTAGGGGGTATGCGCTTAACTGTAATGGGGAATATCTTATTTGTAGGCCAGGAGGAACAGTTGTCAAGGGAAATAGGCCTTGATGAGAAGTGGTTGAGAGATACTGTGAATTTAAGCCAAAGATTGTGCAACTATTATAAGTTCAGTGTTGCTTTTCAGCATGCTCTTTGGAGGCCCAATATATAGGCCCAAGGGCTTAGTTTATCTGACAAAGATCAAGTGTGACTGTAATATATAAAAATATAGGGAAATTGTAAAGCCACCTATTCAGAGGTCTATTCTGCAATGCATTTCTTTCACCAAATCCTATTCCTTTGTGAGAGTTTCAGTCATCACCCTTATCATTGTGTACCTTTCTGTGACATTTGTAAAATAAATTATTGCTCATTTTTACAGGTGCTCTCCACCTATTTCAAACTCATTTCTGCCATAGATTCTGAATTGATGCATGGAGGGCTTCTTCATCTTTGTTGCAGGTCCAACCCCTTATTCCTATTGCCTTCCTTTGGACTCCAGGCAATATCTTGATTCAGGCCTATAATAGGTCTGACAGTAAGTTCAAGTAGTCAGTCATGGATGTACTTGGTCTGGGGTTTGACAGTGCACAAAGCCGCCATGAAAAAAGTCTAGGGTTGTTGACAACCAGATTTGTTAAGCTGCTGCAAGAATCACCTGATGGAGTACTGGATTTGAAGCAGGTGAGCTCATTAATGATAGGTATAAATTCATGAGACAGCCCTGCATAGTCATGTTTATTTAAGCCTCTGAAAATGTTCAGCATCCAGGTGCATTTAGGCTACATTGTAAGCTTTTACTTAAGTCTGCCCTATGTTGTCTTGACTTTCTGTCAATCACATAAATGATGAAACTTAGTTATTCCATTCAGGGTGAACAGAGTTTGGGATGTTACATGTGATAAGTCACTAGTTACAATAACAAGCATTCCATGCTAAAAGTAACTTGATCAGCATTAATTAAATTAATTAATGATCATCAAGAGTAACTAGCTACATATCCTATTTACTTCACCCAAGTCCTGGTCACTTGGAACTGATCTTTATTCCAGTTGTATTCAATTGAATACTATTGATATTTTGCATTTTTCAACTTTGCATCTTAATGTAGGTTTACATCCACAATGCACTTGTATGCATAAACTTACCCTTGTCAAAGATGGCATCATAAATTTTGCATCTTTTGCAGGTGAAAATGTTTTCTTATGTGCTATAGATGCACTATATAATTACTGACTAGGCAAGGAGATGTTGTATTTGATGAAGAACATTTTCAGATTTGCAAGTGATATACAGGGTGGGCAAAAAAAATATGGAACATATTGACAATATGTTCCATAGAAATTAGAACCAATGTAGGAGAAGTTAGTCCAAAATCTCATTATTTCCTATCCAAATCAAAATATATTTACAGGCAGCTGAAGTTCTTCAGGTGCGACAGAAGAGAAGGATCTATGACATTACAAATGTTCTTGAGGGAGTTGGCTTGATAGGCAAAAGGAGCAAAAACATTGTGCAATGGAAAGGAGGTGGACCTGGTTCCAATTCTGCACAAGTACAGGAGCAGCTCCTTGATCTCAAGCAGCAGGTAGCTGCTATGGAAGAGATGGAGAAAACCCTTGAGTACCACATGCAGGTGAATCTGTCAATGCCCACTAGCTCATGTAGTGTACACTCATGCATTTCAATACCTCGGACCTTTGCCCTATTTATATGCAGCTCCAATTACATCTTGCATTAGTAGGGGTATCTAGAATTATATTGTTGGTGATTGTGCATCATCTAAGATTTTTTTTTTTTTTTTACTTTGGGGAGCTGGAGAAATACAGGGTCTATAAAAGTGACACTCTATGGGCCAATTGATGAATAGAAGATTACACCTGGACTCTTAACCCAGGGCTCTCCCCATGCCATTCCTATGGGTTTGATCCCAGGCTAAAATAGCCTGGGATCCTCATTCATCAACTGGCCCAATGGGTAACATGCCTTTTTTTTTTAACTTCATAAGTAGCATTCTAGGATATGGAAAAAAAAAGAAAGAAAATCAGTTAGAGTCCCTGAAACATAGGTAATTTTGTCCTATGCTTGTGCCAAAAAAAAAATTCCCATTCAAAAGAATGCCATGGAGTACCTGATTTGAAATAAATGTTAATATCATGAGATGACCATGGTAAGTTTAAGACAAGAGATGATGAGATTTCCATTACTTGTATTTAAAAAAAAACCTTTGAAAAAATCTCTCCCCCCAGCTGACATTTGCATTGAGTCATGTGGTAGTATGGAGCATTCTGTTGGACAACCTCTCTTATCCAAGAATGCATAAGATTTGTACTTTCTAGCAGACACATGTTTCTTGCATTCTTATGTTATTAACCCTTTCATGGTTACACACTGAAATATCAGTTGTCCTCCTGGGAGGTTTAGGAAAAACTGGACTGTGAAAGGGTTAAATCAATATCTTACAAGTATGTGATTCAGCCATTCTCAGCTGCATTGATTATGTACATTGATGGTATCAGGTACCCTGCTTCTCTTCCATTAAAAATCTCATATGCTTCCAGCTCTGAATGTCAGTTTTACTCCATTAATTTAATTTTAAAATTTTCCTCCCCTAAGAGAGAATAACTTCAAAGAAGCTAAATAGAAATAATAGCCCAATGTGGCAGTGCCAAAGTTAATGAAACTTTTACTGATACAAAGCCATTCTTAAAATCCTGCATGGAGCATGGTTAGTCAGTCTGAGTTGCTGCTTTGATTCCTCAAACTTATTGAGATACTTCCCACGCACAGGTCTTGGAGTCTTGATTCTCTTATCCTTGCCCCCCTCCCCCAAGCTTGGCATGAGTATGGCAGCACAGCATCCAATCTAATCAAAATAAGGGGAGATTAATGCATGGGAGTGGAGATGGCTGGTCCTTGTCATGATTTGCCACAGCCAGAAGCTTGTCTTGTGTCTCTACTATGCTATAGTTCCAAGTAGCAGAATTTATTAACTTTCCTGCAGATGCCTTTTTGCTCTACTACAGTTTACTTCCTGCTGTTTGCTGTTTACTTTCCTGCTCAACATTTATTTTCTGTTGTAGTCCTATGCAATTTAAGGAATGGATTCCCCCCCTCCAGCTTCTCTTCCTTGGCATAAAAACAACCTAACTTCTGTACTTCAAGATAATAATAAAAAATATATAGATAATTTGCTTTTCACCTTAAAGCAGTATGCTGCATTTGTTTTTGTAACAAGCATTCACCTTGCTTCATTAGTTCATTAGTCATAGCAGGCTTTTGACAACCTCAAAGACAATAATCCTATATTTCAAGTCCAATCCATTTTCATGTTATCCAATTTTCAAGGACTGAATGCTTAGTTCATATTGAATAATAAGTTTAAATTAAAAAGTATAAAAAACCCACAGGCCATGCTCTGAATGAATGAAAGAGAGAAATTTCTGAAAACTTGAATTTAATGCTTTTCTTTTTTCTGGTTCTTTTATTTCTACAGTGTGTCTCCAAGTCTATTGAAAACATTCTTGAAGATCCAAGTAATCAGGGATTATTTTACTTGACTCATGGTGATATGAGGGAGACATTCAAGGAGAAGACACTTTTCCTGATCCAAGGACCTTCTGGGACACAGCTGCAAGTCCCACAACTCCCAGTTTGTTCTTTAGCACCTTTGTGGTGTCTGCATCTATACCTAATGAGTGCAGGATGACATGAACTCAGCATTCTTGCCCCTTTTAGGTGGATGAAGGGAAGAAATACTCCATGCACTTGAAGAGTGACAATGGGCCGATCTCAGTTTTATATTTAAATACAGATGAGAAGAATGAGCATCCCCTTGTCTGCCATCTTCCCCCTGAAGATATGGTTTCAAAACAGGTATCAGAGATCCTTAGTTAGGAATAGATATCTGGTGTGTCTAATTTCCAAAACAAGTTAGGTCATGATTCTTTGTATGCTTCATCTCAAATTTGCAGGACCCATTGCTGGCTTCTGAATCATCAAATACAAGGGTGACAAGGAAAAGGCGTCATGTTGAGGATGGCGGACATCCAGAAGAACCAAGCAAGAAGGTGCCCTCCAGGCCCCCTAGTCCTCCTCATACTCGCATGAGGACTAGACATAAGCAAAAGGTGTTGGATGGCAAGCCACTGAATGCTAGACATGAGGTACCTATAAGTATACTGCTAAATCTGGGGGACCTTGAAAGGTGTTCTCATGCCTTCAATATCAAGTATTTTCTATTATTTTTTCCCTCTAGGAAGCATCAAGGAAATATGAGAGACCAAGTGAGCTGGTGATTGAAGACCAGCAGGAAGAAACTCAGACAAAGGAGGTCCAGGTGAAACATGAAGTTGGACATCTACATGTTGACAGTCTGATAGGTATGTTGATGGACTTCGAATTTAGTCTGTAGAGTGAAGCTATGGCACTTTTCTGGGATATAAATGGATATTTTATACCTTCTCTCAGGTTATCCATACATGGAAGATCTTTTGGCAGATGATTGTAAGTCTTTTCTTTATTTTCTTTGTAATTCTTATATTTTAATATTGAACCAATCTCATTCTTCATATGAATCTACTCTGAATTTCCCCATATTTAGTGATGTGTGTATAATGAGTGATTATTTTTATTATTGCCAGTGCTGCAACCATTGGTTCCATTGAGCCCACCACCTAGTGGACAGGACTACACATTCAACCTCTCAGAGTCTGAGGGCCTACATGATCTCTTTGATGTCCCCATTTCATGAGATATCTGTATTCAAATCTTTAAAAAATGCTTACTTGTTGACGAGTTTTGTAATGAATAAAACAAACGGATACATTTCTATGACTTCCACGTGCAGTCTGTGATTTTCTTTAGCCATCACTGACTGCAGGGGCTGGAGGGAAGGAATCATTTTTCCCCATATGAACCTATTTAAAAGAACTCATTTTCAGATCAGGAATGAAATTCCTGATCTGAAGATTCAGGGGTAAAAATTCTAAGAGTGCCCTTTTCCTATAGTGAGATGAGAAAGTATCAGTAAAGTAAGTTTTAATGTTTCACAACTAATGAGAGGGCATAAACATAAGCATCCATGAATACATCCAAGTATAAGCTTTTCTGTAGTAGCCAAACCTCTTTTCTATATAGTTTGGCCTTTGCTAACGTATTTCTGTTGGTCCTGTATGCAAAAACAGTTTCTCCCTATCATTCTTTGAGCTTTGCCTTGATATGGCCTGATAGATCAGTGCATATTTCTCTATGTGAGCTCTAAGAGAATTAATATTTTTTTAGCAAAAAAATATGCTATAGATGCATGCAGTGTCAACATAGACTTTTTCATAATTACTTCATTCAAGAGTTCATATTTCTCATGAGAGGCCTGTTTTTTAAGCAAAAGTGCTTGCTTTCATCAATTAATGCAATTTTGGGTTAAATATTCAGGCTAGAATGCTATCAATCAATGTATTTTGGCTGTGCTCATTATATGTTGAATATCTTTCAACTTTATAGCACAAAATTTTCTGTGGCCTCTGAAATGTATGAAAAGAGCAGTCATTGTGTTTTGACTTAAAAAACACAAGATACTTTGGATGATGTGGAACATCATGGCATTAACTTGAAACATCCCTTTGACTAGTTCCCCTGGTACCATGACCCTTTTCCATTCCATTTACTTGGGCATGTGACACATACAAGGGTCAATATATTTAAAATTTTTCTTGCTAATACTGTGTTCACATTCATGTACAGTTCATCTATTGAAGCTAGGAGGACTGTGTTATATTTTTCAGAAGACCAAAACCCATGTTACCTCACTTGTTTTGTTGCTTTTAATCTTGGATGTGCCTGACAAAGGACTGGAAAGGGTTAAAGCATTCATTCAGTACTCCTGCAATGTGAATGAATGAGTTGTTTAACTTCAATCATCCTACAGGGTGTCTAAAAATGAAGTTAACAATGCAAGATTCAAACCTGGTAATATGCTAGACTTTCAGAAAAAAATCTTAAGGCAGTTACAGGAGACTGAAACTAAGACACTAAGAAATGTGATCACCATCATGATCTCAATTAAGGATGTGTTGAAGTTGTGAACTTCAAAAATACCAGGATATCTTCAGACACTGCAAGACTCTTGACAACTACTTTCTGTACTGATTTTTGAGACCTACACATTCTTCCTTCTTACTCTGCAACATTCCATATGTTGCGGTACAACATATCCACAACATTGCCACTATATGTGTGTTGTTACATGGGAACAACACTCATCCCATCTATAGGGATGCCTGTTTTCATCATACCTCCCAGACACTGCATAATTTGATCAACAGCCAACAGATGTAGAGTGACTAGTCCATCCCAACCTCATTAGGTAAGCTTCTGCCCAAAAAGGTGTGGGTGATGCCATCAATGCTTGGTGGGCCCTCAACTAGCAATGCCACTGCTGCACTCATGACGATCCCGCTCGTGTCATCAGGGGCCACCACTGGACCAAAAGAGATGTGCTACCAGGGTAATTCTTAGCTGTCTTTTTTCAAGAAAAAATTGATGGCATGGTCTCCATGCTAGTCTTAGCAAAATTGGCAAAACCAAAAATTACAAAGTCCAGCACTGTTGAGACAAGTGGGTAGAGAGGTTGTGCAGGCTGGGCCAGGGCCCGTGCATGCATTACATTTTCTTCTCTACCCAAGTCCATGGGGAAACCAATACAATACTGGGTGGCCCTAAAAATATTCCTAATTTAGCATACCTTCTCAACTTTATATGGCTGCAGATAGAACATCACCAGGAAACATATAAGGTGCTGCATCCAATATGTTTTAAGAGGTTTTCAAAATTTTCAAATGGGAATTTGTAGTTCAAAACCTGAATTGAAGCCTTTTTCTGTGCAACGTCAAATGAGTGTCTGTATTTGTCTGCTCTTTTGAAAGGTGGTAGGACGAGTTGTATCACACACAGAACGAGCATCTAGATTTCGCATACTTCACTCTATTTTTTTTATAGTCTGGAAAGCTGTTTCTCTTGATTCTAAACAATCTACTCTCATAGAAATTTTTGTGAAATTGCCTACTTGCATCAGAAGTGGCACTATATACTTCCTGGAGATATCTCATGCAATGCTCCATCTGCAGACACAAGGCCATCCAGTATATTCTCCTTAGAATCATACTGGAGTTTACGAACAATACAGAATCCAGACAGTGTCCGATTCAATCCTATTTCTCCATTCCACATGGAAGCACCTCAGGCTCCATTAAAATAAAACTAAAGTGTCTGCCTGTGAGCTTGGGTCTGGAAACAAAGAATACTTTTTGTGGGCTCAGGCATGAAAAGTAACATTAGTTAGGCTGGTGTGGGCTTGGGCCAATGGAAGCTCAGTGGTACAGGCCAGGCTTAGGTCTGAAAGCCTCAACCAGTCTCATAAGACAAGGTGGAGGATGGTTGGCTGTTGCAAAGGTGGGATCATCCAGTCCAGCATGTTTCTTCAATGAGAGATCCTAAATGTCATATTTATTTTATAATAAATTTTCTACTGGGTTAAAAATTTTTTTACCAAATAGATGTCAAGTTTACATTAGAGGGGGGGGGGGGAACAGGGTGTGAAAATCTCATAAGTCTGGGGCAGCAGTATTCCCATAAAACGTTGAAGCTTTGTGCTGGCACACTTTTAATATTTGTTTACCTTTTTCAGAAGATGAAATATTGCTTAGAAATACCTCCCAAGCTGCCTCCATGGGAACACCCTGATTCCATCTCTAAATTTCTCCCACCTAATTCTACCCATCTCATGCAATTGCAGTGAGTGCCCCAATCAATTAAGCATAAAATCTTATGCCACTGCATTTAATCCATAATTTCAAACAAGTCCACTTTCCAACTGAACCCCAAAACAGCAACATTCCTTCAAAATTCTTTGGATATCTTGAGAGTCAGGTCCGACCCATCACCAATAAGTTCTTCCATGGCACACCATCCTGTATGGTTTAGAACACATTTCTTGGAGAAGACTAGAATGGAAGGTTGAGATCTTGTTGACTTTGTGCATCTTGGGTACCACTTGTATGATGAATATGAGCACATAAGAACTCCCATAGGATTCTCCCATTGAATGCAGGGATGTAGCTGCAGATCTTCTGGTCCTGCGTGAGTGTATCAATAGGGAAGAGGCTCAAGATACTGACAGGAGGATCAGAACGATGGCCTCGCTCAAGATCATTCAGAAGATCTTCTAGGAAAGGAACTAAAGTCCCACTGATCACTTTCTTGTCAACTCTCAACATTTCAAATTGTATCTGGCAGTCCCACATGAAGGAGACAGTATTGAACACAGCTGCCAGTAATAGAAGTAGAGACATGTTGAAACGATGCAACAAGTGCATGCCTTGAACTCTCAGAGGACTTGGTCTGTCAGTATCTGACAACTGATTCAAACTCTCTTCATCTGATAGCACAGTAATGAGAAGGTCCAAGAGTATTGTTTTTCTGGCTTCCTCATTAAGTCTCATCTCTGTCTTCAAATTTATCAATATGGCATGACACTCAGAGTCAGGATCCTGCATGTCATTGCTCCCCTCATCCTTCACATTCTCATTGAGGTCATTAAGTTCCTGCAAGGTTTCCCTTATGAAACCAAGGTCTTGCACTTCACCCATGAGATGATATATCTCCTTTGATTTCTCAAGAATGTTATTATCAAAGAAAACAGATGATCGGACTGCAGGAATGGGCCTTCCATGTTCCCGCATCACCTGATCTAGAAGCCATACCAAGTCCTGGTCCTGCAAGAAATATATTTTTTAAATATTGAAATCTTTTCATCTTAAAATGAAACTCACTCATTACATCAGCAGGGAGGGCATACAAAATGGAAGCCTGAAGGCATAGGATGTAAAACAGGAAAATCTCTCCATGTTGATTGAAGACTTTGTCTGAATTCCATGATGCAAGATTTAAGTTGAGCCTTCCTGTCCTCTAAAGATTTCTGCCCAACACGTTCTTCATAGCTCCCACAAAAAAGGAACCTGGGACTTCTGTCCTGAAAACAATTAGTAAAACAAATTCAGAATACTACAAATGCAGCTCCACCTTAGCAGTCTTTTCAGATCCCTTTGATTTGGCTCACCTGGTGTGCTCGAGACTGATGTGAGAGACGGGCTGATTCAGGAATGCGCTTGAGGGGATACATCTCCAGGAAATGCTGGGCAGTCTCCTGAGCTTCTTCAGCAATATATTGGTACAAGGTTTCCTTGTCTTTGCATTCAAAGAGAGAGATGTTCTCTGTGATGGCAGCTTCTTGGCAAGACTTGAAATACACAGCAGCCTTCATGACTTCATCCAAGAATGACTGGGGGATTTCTTGTTTGTGGAAGGATAAATTCCTTTGGCTGCATGCTAATCCTGACATCATGGGAAGCGCACATAATATCTTCTGTGGTTTTAGAGGACCCTGTTGCACTTGCCAATATAAGAGACTAGACCTTTTTGAAGAATATTGAGATGTGACTGAAGGTTAGAGATTGGGTGGAAGCATTGGAGAATGAAGTAGACCTCAGAATTTCCAGGTTTGCTGGTGAATGGTTTGAAGGCTGTCATTTTCTGAAAACAATGGTGTAAGAGGTAAAGCAGGGAGATGGTGTGTGCCTCAAAGAAGGTGAACAACTTCACAATCAAGGACCCTCCAGGTTTAAGAAGCTGCAGTGCAGTGATCACTTCACCAATGTGTATCAGAGCCACCATAGTTTCTTGCTCACCAGGATTATTTTGAATATTTACACTCCCATCAGCTGTCACCTGCATGATACAAACATTTGGCCTATGTCAATTTATATACAATGTGGCTCAAAAAAACACATCCCTCCCCAATTAAATTTTGCAAACAATTCTAATTTTTTACCCAACTTCTCACTGTTCACTTTCAAAGTTGTTAGATTTCTTGATGTTCTTGTTTCAAATATTGCAGATGATTACTAAGTATGCCTTTTTCCAAAAGGATCCTGTGCAATGAAACTGAGAGGGTGGCAACAACAGTGCTTTGTGAAAGACATCCCCATCAAGTCACAGAAACTAACAGCCTAATAATGATGTTCTAAAAAATTAAGAATGAACTGTTGACATTCTCTGGAAGATAGGAAGTGGAAGCGAAGAAAAAAGCAAAAAAAAATTAAAACAGTTGAAGAAATTACCCTGCAGGTAGTTGCATTTTTCCTGGCTGCAGACAATTTCTTCAATGCCACTCATTCAAGGATGCATATTTTCATTGTTTATTGGGAAACTCTTTACTTGAACCATTCTAAATTCTGAATTGCTCAATAAGTACATGATCTTTAGGGGAAAATGCATACTTCATTAACCCCATTCATTGGTGAGTTTTGAGATACAAAAGGAAGCCAATCAGAGAATTTTCTGGGTTTGCTGGTGAAGGGGTTAATAGTCTGCAATATCTCAAAGGACAGTAAGAAATTAACAAGTCTGAAAGTCAAACAATAATAATTACTTTTTAATCAAGACAATAAACACTTGGACTATAACAGGAAGAAAACTTTCACTGATTGCTTGCAGCAAATAATCAGCTTCAGCCAAAAATGCAGTGCTTATGATACCAATAGCACATTGTCCATGACCTGATACTGATTATTATTATTTTAAAATTGTATTATTCTATTTTTCGAATACTTGGGACAGGTGACTATTACCAGGGTTTTGCATGCACCTTGCCTGGTGTTCTCCATATCATTGCTTCAAGGACATTTACTGTCTTCATTAAATCCTCTGCTTTGAGTCTATTTCCCTATCTAGTCCTTTCAGTTTATCTCTAACATTATCTTCGAGAAAAGGAAAGTCAGATGGCTCACCAAATCCACTTTTCCAACATCAGCTTTCACTATGGCCTTGATGTTAGCCAAACTGGTTATGTCCCCAGTTGAATCAGCACCAAAACACCAGTGAGAGATTGTAGGAGCAATGAGGGTGTCAGTTGGGATCATGTCATTTCGAGAGTGGCCCTCATAATAAGGATTAAGAGTATTGGCCCTCCAATGCCATAATTCTGGGTCTCTGAGAGCACCTCTCATGACTAGATGATGATTGAGGGCAGCAATGAAGGCACCAGGTGCTTCACACAGATGCATGCTTTTCCAAACCTGATTCTCACTTTCTGAGAGTTGTATCAAGTCAGGGAAGACACTCAGGATCTCGTGGAATTTGGCCCATGCCTACAGAGATGTTGCCCATATCACAGAGATATCCAAGGACTATTGAAACACTTTGAAGCCACATTGTTGCACCATAAAATTTATTATGATGCACTTACTTTGAATGTTCCATCTGCCAACCCATCCTAAGGATGGGTAAATATGAGATGGAGAACCTCATGTGGGATTTCTCACACTCACCTGAGTACAGAGCTCTGGTTTGTAAAGTCTGCGAATGGTACTGGGGATGGCACCTGCCCGATTGGTTTTCTGTGTATGACTGTCCCATTCATTGATATCGAAGCAGTTGAGGTGACTCTTCACCTCATTCAAGCCTTGCTTCAATGACTCAAACTCCTGCATCCAGAGGTAAAGTGATTAAAACCATTAATAAAAAATAGTGGCCCCAATTTTCACAAATCCTTTGAACATGAAAATGTAGCCAATTAAAATGATGAAAATTAATATCTCACCTTCCATATTGGACTCTCAAAACTTGTGCAGGCAGATAAGATGGGTGCCTCACTTTTATGAAAAGTGAAAACTTTCTTCACTTCCAATCTATGGCTGTAAGTGCCACTGCTTTCAACAGCACTTTCAAGTCTTGAGGTTTCATTTGAACATTTTTCTTGTTCTGCCATGGTCACTTAACAAGATTACCTATCAAAGAGAAAAGAAATGACAACCATAAATTGAAACTCTACTATCTAGTTCAAAAGTTCCTCTTGCTTAAGTTCTCATGGGTTTGATTACTTTTCATCTGCTGCCCAGAATAATTAAGTCATATACTAGTTGCATCAAGTTATATGATGGTACTAAGGTCAAGATGCAGAGGCAAACATACCTCATACAGCATGGGTCACTTGAAGCCTACAAAAGACAACCTTCTCCAATAAACCCACCTAATTCCTATTTCCAATAAACTCACCTAACTCCAAGCACCCTAGCTCTCTTTAGCCCTCCATACAACCAAGCCCCCCCCCCCCCCTTTTCAATTCCCCTTAATTCCAAATTTCTCAGGAGGACTCAATTTAGTCTGAACAGTCTGGTTACATCCAGAGATATGCAACCCGTTCCCGATCGTTCTGTTCCAGGTATTTCCGGGATACGCCGCTTTGGGCCTCTAGCGAGTCAACGAAATCCGTCGATCCTCCTGCGCGCGCCCATCAACGTTCGCAATGTTCACTTCTATTTGTGCGGTGCGTGATCTGCCACTTCGCTTTTCATCGTGGATGGTCTTTCGCCCACGTTTGAAATGCTCAATCCAACGGTAGACACTTCTTTCTGCCATGATATCCGCTCCATGCACATGTCTCAACCGCCGACAAATCTGTCGTTTCACGTTCTCAGCGACCAGTAATTCCACTAGGCCCGCTGTTTTTCCTTAGTCTGTTGTCGTGGCGACGCTATTCCCAGTATCATTCAGGGGTTCATGGAGTGCGCCCGATCTCCTAAAACAGAAGAGATCGACAGCACTTTATTATGTCGTCAGTTATGTTATGTTAGTTATGTCGTCACCGTTAACAGTCACACAGCGTGTTATTCTAAAATTACCACCAGGGCTGGCTATAGCTATTTCGGCGCCCTGTGCAAAGAGATTCCCAACCCCCCCCCCCCCTTCCCCCAGATTGGAGAAGAGTCAATCTCTAGCGTCCAAATTGACGCCGAAACGGGCGGCAATTTCACTTTCTTAAGTAAAACTGAGGGCGGCATCCATTATTGCCTCGCATATTCAGTCACCTTTTGGCGCCCCTGGTGAATTTGCGCCCTGTACACTGTAGGCACATGCCTAAGACCCCTGTAGGCACAAGCCAAAGGCTGGCCCTGATTGCCACTACTTTCGCCCCCCCCCCCCCCCTTATTACTTCACCTCAATGAAAAAGCAGGTGCTCCCAGTAATTTTCAGTCTTAGGTATATAATGCGTCTTCTCGACTTGAAAGTGAATTTCTTGGACACGCTTTGATTAGCGTGAGACAGAAATTGTATCAAATATATTCACTTGATATAAAACCGTGAAAATGAGTCTGTGACAGCCCAATGAACACAACTCTTAAATCCCAGCTGTCATTACTGGGACTAAAGTGTCCAGGCGAGAAAATAGCGATATGTATGTAATCCTACTGTCCCGCAGCTGGGAAGGAGCCGAGACAAGTCAGCTGAGGAAGCTCAGTAATATCCCAAGTGTTTCCCTGCTGTGATCATCCAGCAATAATAAAGGCGATTATTGCGTTTTGAAGTACAGCTGTTATTCAACAGCTTGCATACAACTGGGGTGTCTCTGCTGTAAGACAACTGCATTCCAACTGAGGAAGACCATTCCAAGTTGGTCTGCGTGAGTACGGCATAGGGCGAATTCTACTAGATGCCACTAGATGTCGGTATGGGTCTCGCTTTTCGCTAAGTACACAAAAGTGCGCTTCCCTCTTTCCATGGAATCATCCCTCACAGGAGCGTTTAGTACCTCACTCTATGTCATTTCTAGTTTCATTATAGCAATCAATAAAATCTGACATTTAATCATTTATTATCCATATATTCGAGATAGAATCATGGAGCCAGGCGATAAACAAGCTCATATTCCCAATTAGAACCCCTTGCATTATTGAATGCACATAATCAATACAGAATTCTATAAAACTCGATCACAAATGGTGACTTCAGCCTTAGTGTCTTTATTTCTAGAGGGAGAAGTAAAGGGATTTCCCAGAGAGCATTCTGGGGAGGCATCTGGGAAAGACCCGAGTGTGCACCTTTAGGATAAGAGGAAACAATTAGTGGAGTCTCAACTGGGAATGTCACGCATCTAGCAGCAGAGAAAATAGAACTGCTGTAGCTCAGTTGTGCTGAAAGCATATGCTGTTGCAGTGCAGTAGGGCAGGTCAACTTCCAGCAAAGCTGGATCACAGCTGAGCTACAGCAATTCTTCTCTTCAATTTTTCTGCTGCTATTCAGCTGCATAACGTGTGACATTCCCACTTAAGAATCTGCCGATTTCCTTCCCTTTTTCATAGCTGCATCCCAGCAGTGTGCGCCACCTGGGAGGGCTTTTGGCCTATTATTGCACTTTGATAAACATGTAGCAATTTTTTGGGATCGAACATGTGTAGTCTGATTGGTTCGTAAGGGGGTTATATGAACCACTACAACAGAGGTCCAATGAAAAGGGGATTCGGGTAATCGGAGTTGCAGTCATCCCTCCCGCACTGAACGTCTGGGGTCGAATGCTCTGTTGCCCTCTTGTCTCATCCATACACATGAACTCTGGATGCTTTAATGTGTCATTCATGGACGACTTGAATAACTATTTATAACTAATTAAACATTAATCTCCTAGCAAGCATTGTTGAACTGTGCAGGCACGTGGCTTGGCTAGGGTGGTTGCACGTCAACTCGGGTCGCGATAATCGAATCCTTTCAATTTCACGTTGGTTATACCCGCGCACTGAAGAGCAGAATAATATATACTGCATATTATGCTGTGCAGGTTCGTCCTGATTCTGTCCTGGACGAACGAGAAAATGCCTTCCCCATACAAAATCACGAAAAGACGTTCTGACCGCGGTCGAGCCTTTGCCACAGATGCTTCCAATAGTGCCGACCATAATAGCGCACGGTTTCGGATCGTGCAAGGCAGTAGAGGCAACTCATATTTAACTTGAAACCGTGCATTATCTTTCAATCAATACATTCAGAGAGGTACGTAGGGGCTCGATAAAAATTCGGCGATAAACGGTTTACGATTATTCAATTACATTTTTTAATCGCTTAGCAGCAATATTAGAGAGTCGTGAAAATGATTGCAGTGTTTAAACTGCGAGGTCTACCGATGGGTCTCCTTGGACCGAGACACTCTCTTGGGAGTCTCTCGACGGTTGTGCGGTAGGCGTCTCCTCGCCAGAGAGAGAGAGAGATTTTGAGGCTCCATCTCCACCAGATTTGGGATCTCTCGACCCTGAAGTTTTCACAGACGGCAGCACTCTGCATCCTATCGCGGCGCGATGTCCACCACCCGATGTAAGAACCTCGTCGATGCAGCTTGTATATGCGATTTGATTCTTTGGGTGATTACCCTAGGTTCATGGCCATAGGTAAAGGTGGGGAAATACCGGGAAATAACGCTCTTAAAAACCTGGAGTTTCACCTCTAGGGAAATTTCTGACTTGGCAACCACGGTCCTCCGAGAATCCCTGAAGAATACCTGAATCTGGTAAGGTTTTTAAGCTCGATGGCAACAGCAGAACGAGGAGAACCAATTCGAGTTGCTTTAAAAAGAGGTTAGATACCTTCATGGTCGGCAAAGCGGGAAAAAATGCGAAGGGGAGCAATATTGCAGTAAGCAACAAGGAAGTAGATGGATGCTCCCGCAAAAAAAATAACATTCATAAAGGGGTAAGCCTAACTTATATGAAAGCTCGATCATGGTATGTCAATATGGATAGTATTGTCATTTGACGCCCCTACCCAACCTGATATGCAAGAAAATACGGGAGTCCACACTACAAGTGAGATCTGCGGAAGTTCAATGCACACCCAGTTTGAACCGAAATAACCTTTGCCGTCACATCCCTCATTCCTGGGCATCACTTTCGGAACCAAAAGAGACCTGAATACGAATTTTCACCCAAAACACATAAGACACGACGTCATGTGGGCAGATGATAAAGAATACGATATTATGGAATAGATTGGAGTATCATCAAAGACCTTGCAACTAATACACGAACCCCTTTCATTTCCTTTATATGATTTTAAAGGGCAAAGTTCCAAGCTAAGAGATGTTTTTACAGAATGGCATCCTTATAGTAGTTCCTTGAAAAATAACCTAATCAGTCAGTGGAACGGCTTTGTCGCCACATCCGCGACACTGCACCGTGGAGCAACAGCGAGGGTTCTGTCGATTTCCTCCAAGAGGCGACAGAGGCGTACACTACTTTTGGGTCCCACTTCCTGCGGCAATGCTGGTCTTTGGCTCTTGAGACAAACTCGTTCCTCCTTGACCGATCTGGTCAGTTTTCATGGAGAGATCGTAATATTTTTGGTTCCAGTTTCTCTTGAAGTCTTCGGAACGCTTTATCTTGATGGCAATCCATGGTCAAGAGATAAAGCTGGCATCAACTTCCCTAGCCTCACGAAAATTGGTTGCTCTGATGCGATCAAGAAAACTTACTTTATCACTGCCATAGGCAACAATCTGGCAATGAAAGGAGAATGTATTTAGACTCGAAATTCATGGTAGTTTTCAGGAATAAAAATTTTCCTTGCCTACCTATCCGGTGTTATGTGTGAATATGGGAGGCTATCTAATTGGGAAAGCCCACAGATGTTTTTCAAGGGAATGGCAGGAGTCAAAGGAGTGGTAGAGATCCTTCACACTGACATTGTTGGAAGAACGAGCAGAAAGGTTGAAATGTAAGGGTATGTGCACAGCAGAATTATTCCTGCATTAGCACATCAGGATTTATCATAATGCTGATGAAACACTGCTTATAGGCAAGCAGTTTCAGGTCTCAGCGTGTTTGCTATAGGGTCTTTGGTATCCTCAACTTTGAGCCTGTCAAAACGGCAAGAGAGCCCCCATAGGGCAAGCAGCCCTGGTTGACGGCTATTTCTCCTTCCATTAGCAACAAGCCAACATTCTCACAGCTGTCAAGGAGGCTTTTAAGCATTATTGCCCTCTGAAACGACAACATATGCCATTTGTCAGGAATGCAAAAGAATGCGATCGGATATGTTAACCCTTTCAGACCTGAATTAAGGCCACTATCGGAATAATATCCTTTTTTTGCATTTTTGAACACTTTCGCTATTGTAATTAAAATTTTTGCGTTTTATATATCGTTTTTATATTTTGTATAAATTTACCATATCATACCATATATAATATATATTACATTTAATTAGATAACTGAAGATGACAAAACTGATGGGTGAAAGAAGGCCTCCAATGGAATTGAGTCATGCATTATTGTAGTGTAATATGGGGCGCAAAGTTATGAGAATCCAAATAAATTATCATAGACACAATGAAAATGCAATGTCCATTGGAATGGACGTCAGGTCTGAAAGCGTTAAACTTGTGGGTGCCTTGATGACTACTCAAAGTGATAGACAAAACTTCATCAGGGTACCATAAACAGTGTTATTTTCATGTTTTACGATCACTTCATCCACTAAGTTTCCTTCAATATGTTTGTACTCATGTAAAATAAGGTACATCCATTGCAAATAAGAAAAAAAATAACAAGTAGATCTAAAAGCATATGTACATGAAGTGGAGGAAAGAGAACCACAAGAACTGGATGAATATCACACTGAACAATGCCCTGCAATTCACAGGATAAAAAAGGGGAAAGAAATGGGTAAAATTGACAATAGAGCTGGGTGTGCATCAGAAAGAGTTGTAAAGAGACTGTAAGAATACTCTGTACCGGTAGATCCCAAATACAATCTCAAACCCTCTTTCTGCAGCTGATTATTAAAAAATCAAATCATCAGCTGGGGAAAAAAATCAGGCATCTCATCTAATGAGACAGTAAGGGTATAGTGGAGTGGGAGCTACAACTTTCAAACTTATTTCTTTCTTCACAAATGCTTTACGAGAGTGAACTCATGAGAATTAAAATTTACATCACGAAAATTTAATTCCTACTTGACTTCAGTTCATAAATCAACTCATACCTAGTCATCATAGAGACTTTCAAGTCAACCAAACAAATTATACTAAGAAGGCAACTTATTGAATTCACTCTGTCACATCTCCAGCTCTGCCATTATCTATGCAAGAAGAGGAATCCAAAATCTGTCATAATAAATGCAACTATGCACATCAAAGATATAACATTCTTCAACAAGGCCTGGCCATTAAGAACAATCCACCTACAAACAACCAGAAAGCTGCAGACTGAGGCTGATTTTGGAGGGAGCACTGAAGGGATATCAAGTTATATCACTGTTCACAGGAAAGAGAGAAGGGGAAAATCAACTTACATAAAGATTTGCAATGGAGAATGCATGAGATACAAGTGAGAGATGAGTGATTGCCAAACACATTGAAATTAAAGCTGTATTTTAAATTCCAAGAGTCACTTTTTGAGTGTGCCCAGATGAGGTGAGGAACGTGTAACACGGCGAAGTAAAGGTAGTTTTGGAGACACAGCCAGGGCTGCATGCTGCTTTTCCACTTTTCTCCTCTTTCCAACCAGGGAAGGAGTAAGGTTCAGTGGATTTGGAGAGTTTTGAGCCTTTCGTTTCACAGCTCGGGTCACAGCACCCATCCTCTCAGGGTCCCCCTGCTGGGATTGCATCCTCACTGATCGTCTGCTAGACACATCAGAAGATTCATCACCTTCTAGAACCATATGGTTCTTTTCAGGAGGAAGAATATTGATATAGGTCTCTTCATCACCAGAGGTTTCTCCATCTTGTCCAACTTTTGCCTGCAACTTGGACTCCTCATCCTGAGAAGTACCTGGACTGGAAGACTTCACAGGGACCTCTTCAGGAATTGCCTGAACTTCATCACTTAAATTGATAGAGTTCTCCTTGGGCTCTCCTGCTACAGTCAAATCAATGACAGGGAATGATGCCTCCTTCAAAGGAGGGTCTTCTCTTTGGTCAATATCTTGTTGGTAAGTAGAGGCACTATGTGATAGAGAGGGCAACTGATGGAGCACAACAGGTGTGGTTTCTAAATTACAAGTTGACACTACTTTGGATAGCATAGATGAGTCTGGTGGAAATACAGCTTCCACAGAATTATCCTGTGGCAATTGCTGTTGACTTCTTAGTTGAGATTCTTCAGTCTGATGTGATCCTTCTAGTATGCTAGAAATTGCATCCTGTGAAGTCGTTAAACACTGGGGATCAGTATAGCGTACTTGGATTGGCTCACAAGGTTGGAAAGACTTCAGGGAATTGGAGTTCAAATGAGGGCTAGGAGGAATTCTCATACTCAGTTTGACAACAGGTGGTTTCACTTCCCTCACAGGGTATATCTTCACAGGGGGACCAGGTGTGAAATCAGTTGAGAGCACAGTCTTTGGTGCACGATTTGCTGGGATGGCAGCAACAAATTTAGAGTCACTTCTAAAAGGCAGCCGCATCCTTATGGATGAGCCATGAGGAACATTGGCCAGGTGTTCATTTTCAACCCTTGAGGTTGAGGATGATGCTTTCATCAAGTTGGGGTTGTTGAGAAGCTGACTTAACCGTTGGAATTCCCCATGGAAAGTTCCTCTCTGCTGCGTTTTCTGCACCTTCTTCCCTATTGGTCCCAATGAAGTAAAAAGAGAGCCATCAAATAAGAAAATGCAAAACAACAAAAGCTAATGATATAGTTCAAGTTCTTTGATATTCAGTGAGTTTAACAGAATTTGTATATTGGTTGGCACTAGCAGTTAGATGAGTGCAGTCAGTTAACACATCAATGCACTAGTTTTAATTAATTAAATTCTTAAATAATAAGAAAGCTAGGAGGGCACACATGCTGAAAATATTTAATTGATGAATGCAGAAGACATGCTTCAAAAACATTGACCTAATTTCAAAGTATAATTTATAGGTGCTATATGTAATAATGACTTTAAAATCCATTCATTTGGCAGCTAAATTCATGGCTAGCCTAGTCATTAGCAAACCATTTGTGACCATTAATGAAAATTTTAATATTTGTCACAACTGTTTCATTTCAAAGAACAGTGAATGTTTTCAGGCCACCCATACAAGGAAGAAAAATGATGATGAAAACTTTTTTTTCTTCCAGCCACATTTTTGAACCATTATTTTTCTTAAAGTTAACTCTCATTAAGCAGATATGTTAGCAATCCAGCCCTCTAATTAATTAAGGCAAAATGAACTGTTCTGGCAGAAACCCAATAAAACCCATATAGACATGCTCTCATTTAACTGGACACCATTCAACTGAAATTCTCCTCAATGCCACTCTCTCCTCTGCCTTAAAACACAGTCTAGACCATTCTCAAATTGATCACCTGACCCTCAAAGGATACAAAGATGAAGTACAAAACCCACAGGCAGAAAAAACAAACAGAACCCTTTAGTGTCACCAGAAGGTGCACAGTCCAAATCATAAGAGAGAGCATCCCATCTTCCCTGATCTCCCCACCAACATGGGAAGCCAAAGGGGGGGGGGATATATTGGTCTCTTTCCCTGATCTCTCCATTCTTGGAATCTTAGTGGGGGGAAAAAATCTATCATCATGAGGCATTAAAATTCCTTTTTATAAATAGCTCTTCTTGTCCAAAAAGCCACCTTTAGCCCTTCTTGGTAAGGAGCTCAGTTTTCAAGGATAGCAGAGTGTAGTTCCTGAAGAGTCCCCATACTCCATTCACATTTAATATGAGAAGCAAAGTAAATAAAAGCTGCTTGAAATTGATGAAATTGAAATAAGACAAAACAAATTAGGTCAATATACATGAAATGACAGACTCTCGGTCAAATATTATTAACACTTTCAGGCCTATACCCATCACATGACATTATACTACCATAGTTCATTCAAAATGTCAGGCTTGAAAGTGTTAATCTGCATAAAGGACCTCATTATGTACTTGTGTTCTAAGTATGCTACTGTGTTTTCCACTTGACATTAATATGTAAAAAAAATAAGGATAAGTAGGACTTATGCATGAGAAAAATTCCATGCAAATATGTCTGAGTCAAGTGTAAAATTGTCTGACTTGTGTGGAAAATACTGAATATGGCATCTAATAGTCTAGTACCAAAGATTACTGGGAGTTGACTTAATCTTATTCATACATCTGGAGGAAAAAAAAACAGACTACACAATACAAAAGAAATGGAGAGGAGAGTTTACTATTCATAGATAGCCATGCTATATTGAGCAGGTTCTAATCCCATTTGCAACATTGTGAATGCACTTGCAAGTCCAAGGAATGAGTTTACTGCATTCTACCAACATTTCCCAGTCACACCTATATGTCATTTTACCATAAGCTGAATGCTAACATGAAGTCACCACCAAGGTGCCCTTCTGAGGGGATAGTGGTGTTTCAGGGTTTAATTATTCTGCATGGGACTGCAAGGACATTTTGAATCAAAAAGCCAAGCTATCTGATAAGGCACAGGATAGCATCTCTCACAGCTTCCTACATTTAGTAGACTGATTATCAGTACTTCTTTTAATCCAGTGGAGGGTGGTCAAGAGCCAAAGTGCATTTTAAAAAAAGAAGCAGACGATGGGGACTTCCTGGGAAAATGTATCCCAAATGGGGAAAAAGAATCCTCTTCTCATGTCTCTAACTTATCAAAGATACCTTTTGAATCCCAAGAATTGTCTTACTCTGAGAAATCACTCACCAAAAGGGACTAGACCACAAGGTTTTTCACTCTGGAAATTGGCAAGGGAATTGCCAGACATTTCTATGGTGCATATTCTAACCTTGTGATTGACCTGACCACTGAAGCAACTGGTTTCAGCCATTTATCTGTCTTTAGAACCAAGAAGGATGCACATAAGGTTGAAGATGTAAAACCTGAAGTGAATGTGTAAGATGAGAAGAAGGTCCTTAAAACTCCAGCAGGCAGCTTTATTATTACTTTAATGATGGATGGTACCTATGGTCAAGCAAACCAAATAAAATTTATTAAAATTAATGTACAACACAAAAATAATTCAGCATGCACATGGTTATTCAGATTTTCTGGTTGAACATGAATATGCCATGTTTACTCAACCTTGAGGTTGCTCTCATTCTTGTCATAGTCATATACAGTATATTACTTGATGCAAAATAATCCAATTATACATTCTACAACCAGAAGAGCATCACAATTTCAGGCTCTACAAGGACTGCAATATTCATCTATATCTGCAGGTTGGACCTCTGATGTCAGATACAGTTCTAGGGAGGAATGTTAAGTAGGATTACTCCACTTGTGCCAACCAGTCTACAAAAGGCATGAAACTCTGAAAACATGAAATTACCTGGAGAATTGGCATCAAGGAGACTCCTCAGGGTTGGACTACCCGTAATAGATGAAGACTGCTGGCCAGCATCAATATATGATGCCCTCCTTTCATCACTTAATGGTGAACTATTCAAGGCAACCACCTGATGTCCACCATCGCCACCAGCTCCACTGCCAGTCTACAAAGTCAATCATGAAGGTTCACATTTCACTGAACCACTACAATGTAAATGCAGAGACTAATTCTATTCTGAACTCACCTGCAAAATGACATGATGATATTTATGAGAGGAAGGTCCAGGATGGAATGATTTTGAAGTCTGCATTGCAACGGGGGATCGTGACTGCCAGGAACTTAGACGGGATCCAAATGTAAGACTCTGTAAGAAACCCAACATGCCAAAATTATAAAGCAATAAACCCAGAAAAATTAGATATGTTGAGGTACAGGGAATAGCTAACACTATTCTTATGTGGTGCCCTTCTACCCCTCAGTGATGGAACTGAAGTGAGTTTAGTCTGAAGGGCAGCAAAGCCACGAGATCTGGCAGGTCCCATTCGATTCAATGCAGATGTCACACTCATAATGTATGGATGTGTGTTGTTTAATGTATCTGGAACACATGTACATGTGGATCAATGAACAAAGCACCAAATTGAAGATTGAACAAAGAATAAGAAATGCTCACCCTCAAAAGAGTTCTTTTTGGTGGCTTGATCATAAGACAAATCCCCACGTCCAGACCCAGAATATCTATTCTTCTGACCAATATCTTTTGACTGACATGGCAAGTGATGATTATTCATATAAGTATTGGAGCCTGGAACCATGGTTAGACTGGTCAGGACATCAGGTGGTGGACTCAGCACAAGAGAAATGAAGTCTGCCACTTCCATCTGTATTCCATCAAACTGGAAATGGATCTTTTGATTTGACCACTGGATCCAAAGAAATAAAAAGAAAAGCTCACCATCAGAGCTTTGTCAACCATTCCCTGGGTGACATGGTGTATGACTTTGCATCCTTTGGGGAGTCTGAGCCAGTGATCACCCCCTTCAAGGACAATGAGACGTGTCTGACATTTCATCTTCTCCCTAAGCCTCTCAATATCACTGATCCTGAAAGTATTCAGATTAGCAAACCACACTGCTAATCATTGTTATACTTGAAGAGAAATGACTAAGATATGACTAACCTTGCATTGATTGCTTGACTGCCAAGGATAAACAGAAATGGAACTTTACAGAACAGAAGAGGGTCATCAGCTTCCCCCCTTGCACCAAATATCCCACGTGTTGGAAACCCAAGGCACACAACTGCTGATATTGATGCAGCTTCTTCCAAGCAGACCTGGACAGCACATATAGCACTTACAAAGAGTTCTTCTAAGTTGATACAAAGATGGCACAGTGGAACGCACATGAGAAGTGAGAGCTGCCCATGTTCCCCATCCCACAATCACCAATGGTTTATCTGGGTGTTGTGTCTTCGCATCACTTACATGAGATTTCAATGATGACAATATTGCATCCAAAGATCGTGTGCGACCATTGTCATCTACTGCAAAGGAATAATACAAAAAATTATCTGTTGCTCTGATACTGTCAATTTGCTTTCTTCATTGAGTGTTCAGATAGCAGAGGGATACTGGAGCCCTGCTCTAGTGGCACCCCAAGTCAGATTGGTACTGACATGTAAAAAAAAAGTATCTGGCTCAGGAGAGATGGAGTAGAATTGACTAGGGCAGTAGATCTGCTTGTGCTGGATTCCAGTCCCTCACTGCACGACATAGCAATGTAGCGCAGAAAAGACGGCAAATCAAGCAATTTACAACATGGCCTAAAATTCTCATCTGAGGCAACATCTCTTCTTCTCTCCCCCCATTTATCTCTTTTATTGATGAATGCAAGGGTGTCACAACACCTTAGTCCCCCTTCAGTAGCAGCCTTATGTGATGGTGAAGCAAAACAGGCTTTATTTCTAAATAAAGTATTCAATTCTACATTTACAAATGAAATCCAAGAATTGTGTGAGCTCAATGCCAGCATGGAGGACAACTCAAGGAGAGATGGATAGGACTCCAGCAAATTCACTAATAGGTTGGTGACAAATCAAGATTTCAGAGAACAGTTTCAACATGTTTCGTAAGGTGATCATAGGAAAAATGCTGCCCAGGAGGCTAATGGAGAATTAGATCTTTAATTCAATACTCAAATAATGCTTTCACAGGCATTGGGGTCAGGGGAATTCTCTGGTCATTCTGCACTGCTAAAGAAATCAATATCATTGCCTGTAAAAAGCTGCTGATTAATGAAAGCTTTGAAACAAGGGCCTCTGTCATGAAGAAATGTCTCTTGATCGATGTCAAACACATTCTCATGCTCCTGCATAAAGGGGATAACATGTTCAACCAAAGTTACATCTTGGAAGTATTCCATCTATGCTGGAGTTGGGCACACACTTCTGAGATTTAGGCTATGAATGTAGAATTGAATATATTATTCATAAATGAAGACCATTTTACATCACCATAGCACAGTTTTGACCCATAAGGGCTGAAAATGGAGGCAAACTGATGGAATCTGCTTGAGACTGTAACCTATACCTGTATGAGAGAAAACAGATCTTACAAAAACTTGGTTATATATACTCACCATGAATGCAGGAAGTAATCTGTTTCATGTAAAATACAATAAGATATTGGCATCCAAAATTATATTACTTGTGAATCACCCTGCACAGCAGGATCTTGTACAAAATAACCCAATTGGATACTCCTAAATCCCAGTACCAAATCCATGCCTATTCTGATTCTGTGCACCTTCATGAAAAACATATACTAAGGACAGAGATTAAAGCACCAGCAGAAACATGTCTCAAAGGCTCAAAGTCTGGAATGCCAGAGTGTATTTGTATGAAACAAGGCATTACTGCTGGCACAATTCATGAGTGTCAGCATTTATAGTATGAATAACACAATTTTTCTAATTGCTTCATTCAAGCAAGAAGGCACCCATCCTCATGTGTAGGGACCCTGCTTACACCTTTATGGACAAAAAGACTGAGCAGCAACTATTGTGCACACAACTGTACCAATAGAACTAGCTGAACTCACAAGATGCCAATGTAACAGGGATGACTCTTCCCATGTGGGAGAGCTGATCAATCCAGAACTGCATGCGCATGGATGCTCTCTGTTTCTTAGACAAGGAACCATGCAGGAACAGAATGGTGATGCCATCTCTGGGCTTGGTCTAGTGAATATAACCAAAGCATATTTGGCATTGTAAAACATCCTTTGGGGTTTTGAGAATATGACTACTTAAGATAGAGAACAATAACCAACTTGGAAAACTAAGAACAAATGCACTGTTTCCCTGTGGAACATGTCCAACTTTGAATTAACACATCCACTGCCATGGATGCTGTAAGACATTCATGATAGTATGTAGATTAAACGAGGAAGATAGTTTAAGCCAATTCAAAACTTCATGTGCAAAATATCTGCAAATAATTATGCAGCTGCCCACCAGATGAGAGGCAAGTATATTTCTAATTTTTTTGCAGAATAGTGCATGCATTTTCTAATTTCTCTAAAAATAGCTGAAATTCAAAGGAGATTTTCAACACTTAGGTCTGGCACTGAATGTGTTAATGATCCTCATCCCTCTCCCCACATCTCACAATGCAAAATCCTTCTTTAACCCAATACATTGAGTCACAGTGGCAGGGCAATGAAATTCTGCATGATGAAATGAATTTTCAGTTTTTTACTTTGAAGTTATATTGGGACATAAAAGGTTATGAAATTGATTCATTGGTATTGTGAGGAGATGATACTTCTCTTTTGTGATGCATATGTAGTACCAATTCAGGCTGATTTGTCTAAAATAATCTTATGGCTCATTGAGCTTCAGGCACATTTTCCTCCAGCCTGGACCATTTCTTTCCTTAGCATTCAAGGTGGTCCCAAAAAATTGTGCAAGGATTTTGTGATTGGATTAAAAGGAAAAAAAGGAAGAGTTAGTCTGGCAAAAAGCCCAAAATTTGTTAATAAAAGCTCATCTTGGATTCAGAATGTATGACACATAAAAGAGTTTTGGCACAAGAAGGATGGGCCCATGCCACCCCTTACTTCTTGACCACTCTTGTTCATTCTTGAAAGGGTACAGGGTGCTTTAGAAGTCACCCCCAATGAAACCATTTCTGTTTTTGCAACAAGCTGAATTAAAAACCACTTAAATATCAACTATCTTTCATTACAAATACCCGGAACAGTCTCTTTATGAAAGTTTCACAAATATCTAAATATGTTGATCCCTCACTTCAATTGCAATCATGTCCCCTTAGTGTGCTGCAACACTTTTCTCATACAGCCCCTCAGCACTTCCTAAGAAATTTGATTGACTGATCCATAAGTTTCCTCACAGAGCTACTACTGGTTCATTAGCTTTAGAGTGCATTAGAGCATTAGCTTTTTTCTCACAAATTTAAGCCTTTTTGTCTCCCTAAATAAAAAAAAGCCAAGGATAGCAAGTACTGACATGCTGGAACTACTGTTTCCAGGAGGGTGGCTGCCACATTAAGCTATTCAGGAAAGTATCATCCAGTTGAAGGCATATCAAGGGCATGGAATATTTTCAATGAATCAGCTTTAATATTAGTTTCACAAATATCTAAATATGTTGATCCCTCACTTCAATTGCAATCATGTCCCCTTAGTGTGCTGCAACACTTTTCTCATACAGCCCCTCAGCACTTCCTAAGAAATTTGATTGACTGATCCATAGTTTCCTCACAGAGCTACTGCTGGTTCATTAGCTTTTTTCTCACAAATTTAAGCCTTTTTGTCTCCCTAAATAAAAAAAGCCAAGGATAGATTCATGACTGTACGACCTTGATGACAAAGGTCCTCCCACCGACGGTGTAATTCGATAAGTCCTTTCATAGTAGGTCAACTTCCGTATAGTTCCCGTACCTTATAAAAGTTACTTAGTCGAAATTATACTTTCTTCCAAAATGAAAAAAAGCTCCACACAGGGACTGACACTTGGGGCACACTCTAAATTAATTCATCAGTTTTCAATAACACAAAGAAACATCTCAAATCTACTAAGCAATAAAAAAAATACTTTCCAATTGTCTAAAGTCATGTGCACGAGACTTTCTTGTTCAAAGATGTATGTCTTCCTTCCTGAGAAAATAGGCAACATTTTTTACCTCTGTTAGACCATGAACTTTCTGAGATGAGTTCAACAGCCAGTCTGATATTGTCTTTCAATGAATCAAGAATTCAAGGTTTTGTACACGTGAACTTGTCGGTGAGGAACTTTCTGGTGTTACTCTTCTCTACATGTCGTGTGTTTGGTACATTTACGAAACCGGTCCTCTACGGTGGTTTTCAGTCATTAGAAAGGTCGTTTGTTTAGGCAAACAACATTAATGAGACTAATTACTAGTAAGCTAATTTATCCAATCACAAAAAAATCCTATCACATCTAAAGCTACATCTACCCTTCATCTATTAGGACTGATGGAAGCTGAAAGATGTAGCAACAGGGAGGAATGGCCAATGGAACACATCTAATTGAGTTTCCAGATGATCGCCCTTGGAATTAAAGTATAATCTAAAATCCCTTCAAAATAGGCCTATATCTTTTGATTAAAAAAATGCTGTCCTCTTTTGGGATTTTTTCAGGCTGCAGCCGATTCATGCAGGAGAATGGAATATAATATTCCTTCGTTTGTGGTCTGAGAATAAAGCCAGAAGAGAGGGTAAGTTACCTAAAAGTGTTCTGCTGTCTTGACCCATCCTTTCATACACAGTAGTGGCCAAAATTGTGGATACACTTGAGAAAAAGCAAATTATTAAAATAAAAATTATTATTATGTTGGACATTCATGGCAAGTGAAGGCAAAAGAAGAGTGAAGGGGGGTGAACCACACCCCAATCATCACACTTTTTTAAGTTCTGGAGGACACAGCAGAGGATGTTAGCTGTGCCCAAGATGGCTATACACTGGAAGATATCGAGGAAAATATGTGACATCACAGCTTTTGCACATGCTTCTTATGGTCTTTCAGGACAATGCCAGTTGTTCCTGTGATGATTGTGGTCTTCATTCCACATAACCGCTCCACTTCCACTTCAAGTTCTGAGTATTTGTCCAACTTCTCCCTGGTTTTGACTTGGAGGTTGGTGTCNATGCCACCCCTTACTTCTTGACCACTCTTGTTCATTCTTGAAAGGGTACAGGGTGCTTTAGAAGTCACCCCCAATGAAACCATTCCTGTTTTTGCAACAAGCTGAATTAAAAACCACTTAAATATCAACTATCTTTCATTACAAATACCCGGAACAGTCTCTTTATGAAAGTTTCACAAATATCTAAATATGTTGATCCCTCACTTCAATTGCAATCATGTCCCCTTAGTGTGCTGCAACACTTTTCTCATACAGCCCCTCAGCACTTCCTAAGAAATTTGATTGACTGATCCATAGTTTCCTCACAGAGCTACTGCTGGTTCATTAGCTTTTTTCTCACAAATTTAAGCCTTTTTGTCTCCCTAAATAAAAAAAGCCAAGGATAGCAAGTACTGACATGCTGGAACTACTGTTTCCAGGAGGGTGGCTGCCACATTAAGCTATTCAGGAAAGTATCATCCAGTTGAAGGCATATCAAGGGCATGGAATATTTTCAATGAATCAGCTTTAATATCTTTCTTCCAAAATGAAAAAAAGCTCCACACAGGGACTGACACTTGGGGCACACTCTAAATTAATTCATCAGTTTTCAATAACACAAAGAAACATCTCAAATCTACTAAGCAATAAAAAAAAATACTTTCCAATTGTCTAAAGTCATGTGCACGAGACTTTCTTGTTCAAAGATGTATGTCTTCCTTCCTGAGAAAATAGGCAACATTTTTTACCTCTGTTAGACCATGAACTTTCTGAGATGAGTTCAACAGCCAGTCTGATATTGTCTTTCAATGAATCAAGAATTCAAGGTTTTCATGTGCACTTGAACAGCCACTCCTTGAAAGACCACAATGAGAAGAGATGTACAGCACACAAACCATGTAAATGCTTTGGCCAGGAGATGCCACCAAAAGTCAGTAATCTTTCCAGCAAACAAATCCTAAACAACATTAATGAGACTAATTACTAGTAAGCTAATTTATCCAATCACAAAAAAATCCTATCACATCTAAAGCTACATCTACTCTTCATCTATTAGGACTGATGGAAGCTGAAAGATGTAGCAACAGGGAGGAATGGCCAATGGAACACATCTAATTGAGTCTCCAGATGATCGCCCTTGGAATTAAAGTATAATCTAAAATCCCTTCAAAATAGGCCTATATCTTTTGATTAAAAAAATGCTGTCCTCTTTCGGGATTTTTTCAGGCTGCAGCTGATTCATGCAGGAGAATGGAATATAATATTCCTTCGTTTGTGGTCTGAGAATAAAGCCAGAAGAGAGGGTAAGTTACCTAAAAGTGTTCTGCTGTCCTGACCCATCCTTGCATACACAGTAGTGGCCAAAATTGTGGACACACTTGAGAAAAAGCAAATTATTAAAATAAAAATTATTATTATGTTGGACATTCATGGCAAGTGAAGGCAAAAGAAGAGTGAAGGGGGGTGAACCACACCCCAATCATCACACTTTTTAAGTTCTGGAGGACACAGCAGAGGATGTTAGCTGTGCCCAAGATGGCTATACACTGGAAGATGAGCTCCTTTTATACACTGTAGTGTCGAAAACGTGTACGAAGAATACCAGAAAGTCCTGTTACGGTCAACAAGGACACTACTAACACCAGAAGTAAGGTGTATTGGCGAGGTGAAGGTGAAGTTCAAGTGAGTATTTGTCCAACTTCTCCCTGGTTTTGACTTGGAGGTTGGTGTCAGCTAGTATGCTCATGTCGACCAGGAGAAGAATACCATAGAATGGTGTTCTCCTTGTTGTAGACCATGAGGTCAGGCCTGTTACAGGTGATGGTGTGGTCTGTTATTATTGGCATGTCCCAGAGTACTTTTGTGGAAGAATTCCCCCCTAGACTGATTGTACCACTTTTCTGGGACATCCATACCAACATTCTTGCAGACATACCAGTGGATATATTTGCAACCTTGGTTGTGCCTGTAAAAGTATTGATGGAGGGTGAGTTCCAGGCACCCATTTAGGAGGTAGTAGACCATTTCAGATGGGCCATGACAGCATCAGCAGCAGTCTTGACATCTAGCTTCAGGATATGCTTCTTGTAGTGAGTTCTGAGTCCTGAATGGTTAGGATGGTGCCCTCTGTCTTGGCATTATAAGCATCATCATAAGCATAAGTTATTGTATCTGTATTATATCTGCTACAATTAAAAATGTGATTATATGAGAATCTTTGATTGGATCACTTATATCACCTTCTTTCATCATACCACACAAATTGCTTTTTTTATAATATACTCTGCATCATAGGCCCATTTTGCATGTTTTGATTTCCATGAAAATATGTCACTTATGAAGTTACTAACACTTCATTATCAGTGAGTGCAACAAAAATTATTTGTATTGAGATCCAATTAATATTAAATACATTTTTTTGTGCAGATAATTTGCCTTTTCTCACACCATTTCATAATTTTGGCCACTAGTATTTCCATCAGTATAATGCTGACCCCTTGGTCAGTGGTGCCCACCCTGTGGCTCATGGGCAAATAGTGGCCCACAAGGTCCAATCCCACAATAAATACCAACAGGTTTCCTTAAAACAGTCTCCTACAATACAAGAGACAACATATGGCCCACAATGGCTATGGGAGTGAGCTATGTGGCCCCTGAGCTGAAAAGGTTGGGCACCACTGCCATAGATGGCCCACATTTCTAAGACAGTAAGACAAACTTTCTTTATCCTTAGCATGGACACTTGTTTATGTTGTGATTTCACTCATGTAAAACATCAGGGTATGAAAGAGTCAGGCAGAGGCATGGTCATGTTGGCTCAGTGATGGGGAACCATGACCAGTATCAAGGGTTTTTTTAGGGTTAGTCAACCATGGCTGACTTTTACAAGAAAGGGTTACAAAAAGAAGGAACTGATCTTTTGCTTTCTTAGGGCCTAAATCTGTAAAGCAGTTTATTTTCTTTTTTCCAGGATTTTCACATCCTTGGCAGAGCTTCAAATCCTTGATAATGCAATTACATACCTGAGAAATTCTAAATAGACATGAACTCACCAGCTTCAAGTGTGACAATGATGAAGCAGCTGGATCCCATGGTTTCTTTTCAAGAAAATCCATCATAGAGTCAGCCATTCTTGCTTCTGATGTGACACTATCGAATACACCAGGTGATTTTGCTCTTAGGGCCTATGAAGAAAGATGACATGCATAAATATATGACTGAAGGATAATTTGAGGAAGCTGAATGGGTGGAACTACCTGTAGAAGCTCCATATACAGAGCCAGATAACTTGGGCTCAAATGTTTCATAAGCAGGACATGGAGCCATCCCCCTAGCTTGACTTCCATGCTGTCTTGGCACATAAGGCGACAAAATTGTTTGGCACAAGAGTCCATGCGGGAGCGATACACAGCAGCGCAGTGCACAGATCCCTTAGATGAAAGCATAGACAAGTATACCGCATTGAGAATTTCAGTGACTTTAGAGAAGAGTTTCCTCTGCTCTGATGTCCAAGATAACCTAGAAAGGGCAAACACAAGACCAAGATTCAGTTGTTGTTCAAGAGCCAATGGAATTAAAAAGCTTGCAATGTTTCACTGACTGATCTACTGATTTTTCCCAGTCCTGGTCATCCACTCCATTACAGCATACTTTCTCTGCCTCCTTGACTGCTTCTTCAAGCAATGTCTCTGCCTTGATGGCATCAAATGGAGGTTCAGACTCACTGACAACCATCTCCACATCAAGTCTACCTTCATTGGCTCTAAGGATGAAATATGGAAGAGATTGCTCCATGGCTAGGGAATTATTCCATGCAAATAACTGACTTTTAACATTGACTGGCAATAAAAAAAACAGGTACTCACCCAGATGTATGTGCTATATGTATCTCCCGGGAAGTGAAGAGATATTTGGTGGGCCAGTAGAGGATATGACTTGGGCTCCAGTTCCACGATTTGGCATATGTGTGATCAGCAAGACATCCATGAGCAGGGGAGTCAGGAAGTGACTCACTCACTTCCATACTGGTAGGAGGCATTCAAGCAACTCCATCAGCAACACCTCTCCTCCTGTAATCCAGTCCAATTCATTCTTTAATCTGTTGAGTTATTTTAACTGACCTGATATAACAATCCAGCAGACCAAACCCCATGTGAATTGAATACCTGTGATGTTAAAGAGCTTTTCAACATAGGCTGACACTTTTTCTTATATATTCAAAATATCTCCAGTCATTCATAACCCAGAAGCTACATCTGCAAGCCATGGCCTCTTCAGTCCATCAGAGCCCTTTGCATCATGCCAACTATCAATATAGGTTCCAAAGCCTAAAGTAACTATATGGGTTAAAGATGGGAGGAGAATTAAGTGAAGGGAAAGATTTTGCTCTCTCATGGAAGGAGACCTCTGCATGAAATTAGCTTATTCACTGCATGCCTGAGTGAATTAACTTTTACAGCTGATAAGGGCATATGACTACTGAGCCTGCAGAATAGGTGATATTAAAAATTGACAAGACTTTCTGGCAGTATCTGATTACCTGCTCATAACAAATACTCATATGGAAGAAATCATATATAAGCAAAATCATTGCATTTGATAGTGCCTGAAAAGTCTGAGGCAACTCCATGCCTCTTCTCTTTTTTTCATTCATGAAAAGTCAATGTTAGGCTCAGAATGACATTCTCACCCTCCTTACTGTCTATGGTCAATGTTTAAACTCCAACACACTCCTATCATTCTTAAATTGTGAGCACAACATCAAGATTGTGTTCTGTGCAGGAACAGCATTCACTAAACATTACCCTGCTGTGCTCTTCATTGAACAACCATCATTTTTAAGTCATTCTCCACATGCAAGCAACAAATGCACAGTTGATGTACAAGCTTGGGTTTACTTGGGTGACATCACTCAGTTTGGCAAAACCTTAAGAAAACAACTTTTCAAACAACCCTCTTTCAAGATATGCTCATGCCAACTTTGCATCCTAAATGGTACTAATTTAATGCAAAAAAAAACAAACAAATGTATCACCATCTCTTGGGCCACCCTGCAATTTTTCCATTCCATTCCAGTCAGTGGAGTTCCCTAGTCCTAGTGAGGTAGAGGGCAGAGAGATATCTACACTGCCCTGCTACACCCACACCTCATGTAATGCATGACCACTAAGCCCAATGACCATGTGACTATCATATACTATACATACTATGACCATGTGACTATACATGAAATATCATTGGCTATAAGACAAGGCAGGTCTTGGCTCAAGTTCATAAGTATGCAGATAGGTCTACGTCTATTGTTTAGATACGTTCATACATTTAGCTTTCAGACTAGCATATAGCCAGAGTAAAAGCATCATAATAGAAATTAAAGTTGGTATGAGTGGGATCATAACCTAAATCTGGCCTTCTGGCTGTCACGCTACATTACAGCTTCAACTGAGCAGGCACTAGCAAAGTATACAGTACACTGTGCCTTGCACTGGCAAAAAAAATATGTGCAGCAGCTGTATTATTACAAAAAAGAGATAGTATCAGCACCAGTGCACCTGGTATAGCCCAAAGGTATACAGCTCTTACACCTTGAGGCCCTGTGCCCATGAACAGTCTGGCAAATACAGGACTAGGTTGATGATACTCACCCATTTTCAAAACAAGAGGAATATTGAAGTTTCTTGCTTCATGGCTAGGGTAAGACTTTCATTGGCCAGGAAGTGATGGGAGGTTGAGATGTCTGACTTTCACGAGTTGCTGTTAGACCTACCCTATTCTAGATGAATGAAGACAGCCAGATATCAGGATGGACTAATCAACTCCAGAGAAGCCAAGACTAAGTCCTATAGTCACATGGGAATCTAAAATGGACCAGTCCTTAGTGCAGCCAAATCTTTATTACTAAGCCTAGCACCTTCAAACTGAATTTGGGGGTCAGACAAATATGATTATTTGTTGTTAATAAGAGTTAAACATAAGTTAAACTGATCAATCTCTGTACTAAATTCATTTACATTGTTATAAGTTAAATGAAAAAAAAAATAAAGAACAGGCAGTGGCTATGGGTATGGACCCGTATCTTTGCTGTTGCAAGCAGCACATCTGCCTCTCATGTTGTGTGCACTTGCTCTGCTAGACTCTGCTAGTCATGTACATGAAAGCAACAGAATTCATCAGCCATATATCAATCAGCTAGGGGTTGATTGATATAGGTACAACACAGCATTAGTATATAATTCATAAACTAACTTTGTTCAGAATTTATTTTATTTCTTAAATCCTTTTATGCCTGCTGGCATTTCTCCTTGCAACTGTGCAAGCTATGCAAAACTAAATTAACAGACTTACTTTTTAAGCCTTTGACTGCTATCTCTTTTATTTCTCAACATATCCAAGCTCAGTGTCTTTATTTTCATGTACCATGGAAGCAATACTTCCTAATGAAGACAAATTCCTTCACAAGACTCATTTCCATTACATGAGTGAAGGATTGGGCTGTTTCCAGTTTACATACAAAATCTCTGATGTCTCTACCATAAGGAGTGGGAAACTCTAGCAATCAGGTTAATTTTTTCATAAATGATGGATTATAACAACATGGTTTCACTTTATTTCCTTTGATTCTAGATAGTTTTCCCACATTTCATACCATTTCGGTTTATGACAGAATATCATGATAGTTTCTTGAAGTTCTGAGGCTCCCTTGAATATTCAAGCAAAATAACATTCCTCAATTAACTGAAAAGAAGTGAATACTTGATAAGGGATTTCTCATAATTGCCCATTCCTTTATCATACAAGCATTAAAACAATATGCCAATTAACATTCACACCCAGGCCCAAGTTCAGTCCAATGATAGGCATATGCAGTCTATTGCTGTTCTTTTTGGCAATAAGGTCGATCACCTCTTCCCTATTTCAAAGTTAAAAATGTAAAGCTTTCTTCAAACTAAATTTCTGTACCATGCTATAAAATCATAGAAGAAACAAACAAATTGGTAGTGGCCCCAGATAGGTAACAGTTAAGTGTATACCCCCTTGGGATATTGTGTTACTCCTTAAGTTAGGACAGATTAGGTTAAGTTAGGTTAGGTTAGGGGGGAGGGGTGTTTACTATATATAAAAGGAATCCCAATCGATGCAGCATGTTCCCAGTTGAATTCATCTGGAAACATTGGAGACTAAGAGAGTGCAATTTTGTTAAGGAGTACGCATTTAAGCATTACCCTGCAGATATGAGTCCATGACTTTAGCTATTTTAGTTAATCACAGTAACACAAGTAATCATGGTCACAGTAAGTATGCATTGCACACATGTTGGAGAGGGTAGGATCTCTTCCGATTCCTACCATTAGCCATCGAGAGCCAATAGTCTTGTGAGCAACAACTCTGGCATCGATGCCAATTGTTGAAGTGAAAACATTGACTGCTGCATGTTCAACCCCTGCCCAAGTGTCACGTTTTTATTATGGACTATTGGTGGAACTGGCTTCTAAACAAAGGCTAGGCATTTTAGGATGCACATGGTTAGGTTGAGAAGGCATGGTGTGCGATGAGGATGGAGTTAAGGAAGCAGATAATGGAGTTTGTAGAGCAAAGATACAGGGTTCGCCTTGTTCATAGATACAGGTAAGCTAGTCGCTTCAACTGCGTGAAATTTTAGCAATTAAGAAGTTTAATAGTTGGAGTGGGATATAAACAAGGGCCTCACGATGGAGGTCTCCGAAACTTGGTACGGGAAGTTGTCTGGCAAGAAACCAGGGACACGAGTGCCTTACGCATAGATTTGAAGAGAAGGAATACAGACCCATATCCAAAGCCACTGCCTAAAGAATCTGAAGAATCTGACAGTTAAAGGGGGATACTTGAAACGAGAGAAACCCAGCCCAGATCCAAGTGAAAACAGGTTTTCACACTCCTATCGTGGCAAAGACCTGAATAAAGTACACCACAGTCACGCCATATTGTTTAGATCTCGCTGGACGATCTGGCTAGAGGTGTCGTCGGGCTCATCAATCATCATCGACAATTTCATGATCACACTTGTAGACTTTGCTGCGATCGAATAAGGGTTACAGACGCTCAGAATGAGGTCGATCTTGGAGTAGGGATACCTTCTGACGTCCCTACACAACATTTTAAAATTGAACCTTTACAAAATGCAAAGACGCGTCCAGAGATTGTAAAGCGGGGAGAAGGGACGTAGTGACCTAACAGGGTGAGGAGAGACCTCATGCCGAATGGAGGCTGGGGTCTTGAACCCCTGAACTCATCCCTGACAACAAACCACTCAATGCAACAAATCCAATCCCAGGTTTCCCTGAATAGGTAATGGAATTCGGAATGACCCTATTCAATAACTCCCTAAAGTGTTGCATGTTGCTTAAGTAGAGTGCTCAAATCAGCAGGATTGCCCAACACATTGCTATTCCGGTCAAGCCTAAGTGGACACAGCTTGTTATGGCATGGCGGCTTTCATGCAAATGAATATCTTACATAGAGAAGCTCTTACGTTCTTGCGAAAAGGGAGTTTTTCACGATAGGACCAACCTGCTCGATTTTTATGACTCACGCTTGCAGTAATACTACTGATTTGTCAGGGACAGTTGTCTTTTTTCTCCACTGACCTACACGAAAGCTGAAAAGAAATTGCTCCCAGAAATTACATTGTAGCTTGAACTACATGTACTCGAATTTACAGCACTTTACAGTATTTTATAACAGAATCATTTCAAGCTGTCCACAGTGACTACATGAGATGCTCACGACGAAGATAGATTAGGGAGGATGGCACTTGCTTCAACCGAGCAAGATTTCACATTTTTGACCTGGCTGCTCCTGCGCACGATTGGACTCGCACTATGACTTGGACTCTATAGCCGAGTAGGTAGCAGAGTAGGAAACACTCGCTCATTTGACATCGCGGGGAAGAAAGCTATTACTCAGGTTCTAAGCCACCAATTTCTCTCCAATTTTTATGAAACCACCACACAGATGTTGCATGAGACGTTTTGACACTTTCCTGCCGATATCTGGTATGGTGTTCCATCTAAAACCATATAAAGCGGGAACTTTTTTATTGGGTCACCCAAGGAGGCTTTTACATGTATTTCATCTTCCTGGAGTTGAAGACATCAGAAGAATGTTACAGACAAG